ATGCCTGTGAGAGTAAACGATCGAAATTGTCGTTGGCGTTGGGAGGGCGATAGACACAGCCAACGAGTAAAGAGAACATATTTTTTAGGGCAACCTGGAGCCAGCAGCTGCCTTCTACTGCGGAAAAATGCGGGAGGTCCAACGGCAAAAATGTAAGTGTTTGCTTCACGTAGACGCAGCTGCCCCCACCACGGCTATCTTGGCGATCATTTCGAATGCAATAATAGCCTAGAAGCGAGAGTGCGGAGTCAGCTACTGAGGCTGATGCCCACGTCTCAGTTACTAAAACAATATCTGGACAATGGACGAACACCAGATTCTGAAGCAAAGGCATCTTATTAGGCAATGATCTGGCATTTAAAACAAAAAAGTTTGAAGGGAAAGGCTGTTAGTTTCTGAGGGAGGTGGGCTACCTCGTCCATTTCTGGGCTGCCCACGGAGCAAATGGTCCGCATGCAACCATCCGGTTCTGCAAAAAATTTTGTGGCATCGAAAAATTCTGATGTGGATAAAAAGGGGTAGGACTTGGGGGAGGAAATGACGGGCAGGTAAACTGGTAACTATTGTTAGCTAACTTATTTTCAACTGAAAATCCGCGGGGCAGATACCGCAGCACATTCCCGCCGGAACGGAACTGTGGTTTGGACGAGTTAACTGATCCAGTATAGACATTAGCACGAGGAATACATTGGTAGAACGGCTGTGGAGGAAACAAGTTAGGGGGTGGGGGACGCATTGTTTTCAGTGGAGCAAGAGTTTTATTAAACAGCGGAAAAATCGGCATATTCGGCCTAACTGCCTTGATGCGAGGGCTGCGGGACAGTTGGGAACACGCTACGTTTTGAGTCTGGATATTTGAGGCACTGTTAGCCGATTGTGGAGGAAAAGATTTTATAATGGTGCTCGATTTATCGGGTGTCCGAGTGGCTGAGACAGCAACTGGATTTGCCCTTGACTTAGACACATGCTTAGGCTTACTAGGGGTTGCTGGGGAAGTCGATAGAGGCGTGTTTATACCAGGCGTGGAGGTATGTTTAAAGAGCTCAGCATAAAAGTAGTCGGATTCCCTACGGAATTGACTATGCCGTGATGTGCAGATGCCGCGGATGGTATTGTAGAGGACTTATTCAGACTGACAGTATGTGTCATCATCTTGGTGTTGGTTTTTGCCGATTTTAATTTATTCAGTCTTCGCTGCAGTGGTGAGAGGTCTGGCGAAATGGAGCAGCACCATTTACGGCAGAAGTCTCTAATTATCTCCCTACTCGACAAGATAAAATCGACTTCTATCATGGAGAAAAGGGTAACTAGTATCGGCGCATTACGGCTAAGCGAGCATAGTCGCTTAGCTTGTGCGACACTGAAACTCAAGCCACAACTTTTTAGGAACAAATGCGCTCCCTCCATAGCAGATAAGTGGCTCGGAATGTTTCGCAGTACGAAATTATGCTTGCGTTTAATTCTTTCCTCAGTTTCCGAACTAATTACCCCAATAAGTTTAAAAGCTTGTTCAATTACCTTTTCTGAAGTGCTGTCAATGTCGCCATAAATCAACTGATCGACTATTTCGCCGGCTGATGGCCTGCTACGACTATCAGAGGCATATTTTTGGACGACAGAAGGGTCAAGAGGTTCTATATGTATTAAAGGGATTTGTGAGTTAATCAGATCTGCAGACGGCGAAGAACATACGCTGGCACCTGCAATGTCTTCAGTCACGATTTTAGCACCCAGAGACGGTGGGAAGGCCACAAGCTTTCGCCTTGGAGAAATGTTCCAGTCGACCTAACATTATGATCATTGGCGACTTCAACGCACCAAGAACAAAGTGGAACACCCTCCAATCGTCGGGTCCAAAATCGACATTCGATTACCGTCTGCTGAACGAAGCATTAAAGGCGTCCCTCACACAACATGTAACGTTTCCAACGAGAACACTTGAAGGACAATGGGCGAACTGCCTGAATCTGGTTTTTACGAAAACACCAGACAGCATAGACGAGATCACCTCCATCCCGCCCCTTGGCCGAAGTGATCATATAGTGCTTATGTGGGATTATTCGTCATTCTCAATTTCGCATACTCCTGACCATAAAAGACGCAATGTTTGACGGAGCCACTTCAATCAGATGAGGGCAGACTTATCCGGTCTTGACTGGGGCCCATTGTTTACGTGTAATATCAACGATGACTGGGAGTTGTTCAAGAATGTCCTTCTGCAGCTCATCAACAACCATTGCCCACTAACTAGTATAAGACTGGACAAACGCCCTGGGTGGCTAAATAGCAACCTAAAGAAAGAAATCAACAGGAAGCACAAATTGTGGAGAAAATACTGCATCACTGGGCAAGTTGAATGTCTCCAAACTTACAAGACACCGAGGAACAAACTGAGAAAAATGATTATACAGACGCAACGGGAAGTCGAGAAGAACTTGCTACAAAATGCAACGCAGAACCCAAAATAAGTCTACAGCTACCTCCGACGAAGTACAAGGAAAAGGCATAAAATCCCCTTAATAAGGACTACTGATGGCGTTGAGATTGCTGATAGTAGGGATAAAGCTGCGTATTTTTCTCAGTTTTTTCGATCGGTCTACACAAACGAGACAAGGTTCATTCGTCCCTCCACAGACGAACTGCCGACCGAAGCGTCAGTGATATACTCTTCTCAGAAGGCATTGTCCAAAGAGAATTAGAGGCATTGAACGAATCGAAGTCGCCAGAACCAGACGAGATTCCACCCAAGCTTCTCAAGAAATTTGCCTGTGAGCTTTCTGTACCGTTTTCGATGCGCTTTCAAACGTCAGTTAACACTGGAACACTTCCTATCGATTAGAAGTTGGAAAATATTACACCGCTATTCAAAGGAGGTAGCAGGGCATAGACGACAAACTGCAGGCCCATAAGCTTGACATGTATTCTCTGCAAAGTAACGCAAACAAATTAAACCGGATAGTATAAAGGCACCTTTAATGGTCTCATTCCCGAACATTCAGCTTCTTGACTTCGAGACGGGTCCTACTGGGGTTTAGTGGTAGATCATGTGGAGACCCTCAATCATATCTTTACAAACCCGGTTTTGAATTGGTTTCTAAATCCTCTGCTATCACTCCTTCGTCATAGCGACGATTTTCGTGGTTCTTTATGTCATCTCCCTCATTTCGACCTCAAGCGTTCTGTCGACGCTCACGGCGGAACCCTCAGTATTCGCCATCTACTAGTAGTTTGGTCGTACCTCCCTTGCCCACTCCTCGGCTGGACTCGAAGCGGACTGTGGCCGATCGCGTCTGGGTACCTCTCGTCTGTCCGCTTTGACGCGAATAATCTCATCCGGTGTATCAATTCTGCCCTGACAATGTCCGTACTGAATGCCGTATACACTACCACATGCAAGCCAGTCCTGTCCGACCCGCATACGTACCCCTCAAAGCTGATATTTATTTTTGCCCTGACGATGTCCGTTTATAATCAGGTCAGTCCTGCCTGAATTCTTCTGTTCTGATTAATAGCCAGCGTTTTTTTTCTCCTGCAAAATTAATCCAATCATTTTTAAATCCTTACGTGGAGTTTTCTCATCGCTCGCTCATCACTTTTCTTTACGAACTACAAATCCAGGAACTATGAATTGCATATTGTGGAGATTCTGCTTACCCCGTCTAAGATTCGCATACAAGTTTATCTCTACTTGCTCTGATGGGACCCTGGCGGGTCTCCAGTGAAAAATTACTGTTGTTATTAAGGATCTGGGCATGTTGAACCCCAAGAGTCTCAGTCTGTTGGAGCACTGTGCCCCGGTAGTCTCCAAAGCACAGTGCTACCACCGGCTTCTTGACCGTCATAATAATAATAATGTTTATTCAAGACCCGCGGGGATCCATTCATAGCAAGTGAGAATAACTTTTACATGAATTTTAGAATTTTAGAACAGGTATACACAATCTATACAACATTTAGTTCATAGTTATCGAATAAGTAGTATGTTACGAAGAATGATGAGTGAGCAGTGAAAAAACTCCTAAAATGTAGACAAAATGAATATGACGTGATTATATTTATAGGAGAAAAAACTGCCGTTAATGAATGTATAACAAGCAGGCAGAACCGGCCTGTATGTGGTAGTGTATAACATATTGAATCAAGGGGTAAGTAGGAGAATCAGGCAGGACTGGCCTGCATGTGGCATAGAGTAAAAGGTTCGAAACGGGCATCATAAAGGCAGAATTCATAAACCGGATGAGGCCACTAATGCCAAAGTGGCGAATAGAAAACAAGTCTTTAGGCGATAGGAAAGTCAGTTTCGAGTCCAGCCGAGGAGGGGGCAAGGGAGATGCGACCAGTCTACTAGTATATTCCAGAGGAAAGTATATCTGGAAGCGAAAAAAGGGCGCGCTTAGAGGTGGAGGACGCTGGAGGATGTATAATCAAGGACGAATAGCGTAGATTGTATGGGCGACTACTAGGGGTGAGTGTTGAAATCCGAGAAAAATTTGAACTATGATTAATGCGAAAGAGGAGACAGACGCCTGCTTCTAGTCTTCGAACCCATAAAAATTTTAGGTTAATTACCTGGAATCTATCTGAGTAGGCGATATTGGGATGTTCCCTATCCAAAAGTTTTTTTGAAAAACGTCTTTGGACGTTTCCAATTTTTAAACGACTAGCTTCATTCATCAAACCAAAGAATGGGCAATAATACTCGAGAATGGATAGTACAAACATACGACAAATTCTTAATTTAATTTCGGAAAGATAGAAATCGTAAGAATTAAAGCCACAAATCTGGGCAGCTTTGGCTGTAATTCGGTCAGCGTGTGGCGAGAGATCAAGATTATTTGTGAAGCTTAAACCTGAATATGGGCTGGCTGCTTTAAAGTAACTTGTGCACGCGAACGATAGCGGGCAAAACGCCGTTAGAAAGCGCTAGAGTTAGCAAGACAAAGGGGAAGAGCAAAGCTCCAAAACAGCCAAAGAAGAACGTTTGTGGAAAACCTCAGTGCATGGACGCCGATACTCTTGTCGTTGGGAAAATAGCAACGGAGTCTCTTGTTTCTACGGAAGACAACCGTAGCGAAACATCAACTTCTCTCAGTCATTCGCGTGTTCGGTGGAACCCTCGGTTGGAAGTAAAGAAACATGCTCGTGGCAAGGTGGAATGGGTAAGCACCACAACAGGAGTATAAAATCCCAGACGACTCCAATGGATCTCCTGAGACCTTCATCTGACAAGGCCGCCGGAAACAGAACACGGTTAACCCAGCACCGTCAATTCAAAAACTTATAAATTCGTGCGGCCTAAACATTCGAGTAGCTACCACTAAAAGACTTTACTCTTAAAGCAAAAATAGACCCGTCTTAGTAACCTTCTACTCGCAGACCGAAGCTGAGATTGTCCTACAAAACCCCGAACTGAACAGAAATCTGCGGAACCTAAACTCATTTATGACCCAGACTTGCCACCCATGCAAAGACGCAAACTTCAGGAAAAAGACACCAGTCACAAACCCTATAATCAGCTCCCCGGTCCTTCAGCTGAGCCTCTAGCTACTGCTTCTATTTCTGGCGCAAATAGAAAGGAACGCACAGACCAGCGTAAACAAAATGATAAAGCCGCAGCCCCCGTAGGAGGACCTCTAGCAAGTACTTCTGATTCTAGTTCTCAGGACATAAAACGCGCAAATTCAAAAGCAGTTAGGACGGCTAGGCAAAAAGAAATAAGGGAGGCAAAACAAAGTAACAACGTTCAACTAGAACAGAACGATGACGCAGATCCCGGACCCAGTCATGTGACACCATTAGATAGCAATATAAGTTTTACAACGCCCCCCAAAACCGATCATCTAGTACTGGAAAAGGTCTGCTAAACAAGATACACAAACCAAAAGGCCTTATTAAGCACACCAGCACAATCAAAACGTCGCAAGTGTGTAGACATAACAAATAGGAGTTCTCCAAATTCTAACCAGAAACAAATGAGCTTCTACAACTGTACCTCGACTCCCCAAAATCCACCTGCATGGCATAGGAATAAGCCAAACCACTCTAGCATTCCAAGCTTCTTACCACCTTATGACATTTCCACAAATTACTTTGGCTTTTACACCTCTCCAACTGAATTTCCATTTAGGTATAATTACCACCTAGTTAACCCACCTCCCCATATGTACACTCAATCCATACACACTAACCCATGCACTCACACTTCGCCATACGCATCACCATACCCTCCAACAACCGCACACTTATCTCCATTCCGTCCATCACTCAATCAAAGTACCCCCAGAAATCCTTTTTTTCACCACACCCCACCTGTTCCATATCCAACATCCTGAAGGTAGCTCTTATAAATTCGAGATCGATTGTCAACAAAATATCCCAACTTAGAACTTTTGTTGAAATATATTACCGCGATATAATTTGCATTACAGAAACATGGGCAAATGAACTTATATCGAATGCTTCACTATATGTCCCAAATTATAATTTCTATCGACAGGACCGTGTTAGTAAACGAGGCGGAGGTTGTCTTATCTACATCATAACTAGCATTGAATAAAGTGGTATTGATGTCTCAACCGAAACCTTTGCTGGAGAAGCGTGTTTTGCCACAATAAAATCTCATACCCACGGAAACATACTAGTCGGATGCATCTACTCGCCTCCCGAATTCAGTAGTGATGACACAAGCCTCAACCACGTAATAAACAATATAGCTAACATTAAAACTGAATATAAGATAATCGTAGGTGACCTTAACCGACCAGAAATAACCTGGGTCGAATTATCGACAACTACCAGGTACGAAGAATTGTTATCTTCAGTTCTTTTTAATAACTGGACACAAATAGTTGACAAACCCACCCGAGGAAACAATATACTAGACGTCATTTTCACCAACGATATCTGGTCCCTCTCTATGCACTACGACTGAGCAACCTTAGAAAGTGACCACAAAGCAGTAATATCCACACTCCCCTTAAGTGCAAAACTAGCACCCAATTTTAGTAACACCCGCCTAAACCCAGAAAACTTGGCAAAGACTCCATTAACAACTATATTAGGTCAGTAGACTGGAGCCCATATCTTTTAACAACATCGCCTATGGAAGCAGTTGACCTATTATACTCCGTCCTGTTTATAATTCGAGATACTTTGATAGACGAAAGACTCCCGCATAAGAAATCACTGATCCCACACTTCCTTTCAACTTAACTAAAAAAAACTACAAAAACAGCTATACAGCCCCTCAGTAAGTTATTTATCCACACTTCGACGAATTGGGGAAATTCACGAACTAATTACCAAAATAGAAACACAAAATACCATAGCAGCGGAACATCCGGCTCTAGAATCTCCCGAACGAACAGCTCATATGTTTCAGAAACTAATGAGTAATCATCGACAGTCAGGACCACGAACTATTATTGATGAATCAGGACAAGTTATAACAAATGACAACCAAATAGCAAACTCATTCAACAGATACTTCTCGGCTAACTACGCAGTCGAGGAGGGAGCGATCCCCCAACCGACCGAGATGAAAGAGAGCATCCTTAGTGAGATCCGTTTTAGCGAAGAAGTTGTTATAGTAGCCATCAAACAAATATCAAACGCCAACTCCTATGGGACGGATAAAGTCCCACCATTTATTCTGAAGCATATGACATATGCTCCAATACTCCTATCTAAGTTATTCACCTTACTCCAGTCAAGTGCAATTTTTCCGGACATGTGGAAATACTCCACCATTGCACCTATCTTTAAAAGCGGCAACCGATCTCATACCCAAAACTATCGTGGTGTTCACCGAACACCGGCTATAGCTAAAATCCTCCAGAAAATAGTCTACAACCAATTGCTAGACTATCTCAGAAACACCAACCTCAGTCCCCCTCTCAACACGCATTTCTACCTAAAAAGTCATGTCAGTCCTGCCACCTTACTATTTTGGAATTCGTTTCCAGTAATAGAGATGATGGAAACACAGTAGCTTCAATATACAGTACCTGTGCTAACTCATGAAATGTCACGAATTAACACAGGTTAACGCCTTTAACGCAAAATCGGTAAACACTACGGCTCCCAAAGTCTGATAGCGGAAAATAAACGATGTGCCAAAGAAAAAAAGCAAAGTTTGGTTAAGAAAATATTATTTACTGAGATAAAAATAAATAATTTTCGACAAAAGTCACATTTTCGAGAAACGCCTATATTACAACCAAGTTAATAAAGGCTACGTATGAGGACGTATAAAAGGCCTTTGACAAAGACCCCCCATAAAAGACTACTGATAAAGCTAAAAAGTCATGGCATCAGGCCACCCCTTCTCGATTTTCTTAAATCCTATCTTCAAAACCGATATCAAGTAGTGCAAATTCGAAAAGTAGTCTCAGAACCATCACCTATTACCAGTGGAGTACTTCAGTATAATTCAGTATAATTCAGTATATATGAGGGATAGAGGCAGAGCCTTGGAAAACCCTATTTACAGATAGACGTAGAAAAAAACATGCAGATATTTACATAGCAGTTATACCAGCCATTGATATCATGTAAATGTTTGACCATCAAGCATAAGTTTATCTAGTCTTCTTTTGAAGGTCTCGACGTTTTCCGCTAAGACAACGGAGTTCGGCAGTTTGTTCCATCCCTCAACCAGCCGGTGAGAGAAGAATTTGGCCCGCAAATCGAGTCTGGCATGTTTCATCTTCAATTTGTATGCGTGCCCTCGGAGATTTGTCGTCCGCGCCAGTTCGAAGAAGTCGTCAAACTGAAGAGCACAGTCTAGTCCTCGGACGATCCTGAAGGTCATGATCATGTCCCCTCTGTACTGTCTATAAGAGAGAGGAAATATTTTTAGCTTCTCCAACCGTCTCTCATAAGGTAAGGTACTTAATCCGCCGACTAGCCTGGTCGCTCTACGTTGTACGTTCTCCAGTAGGGTGTAATCTTTTTTCGTCCAGGGACACCATGCCTGGACACAATATTCCAACATTGGTCGAACGTATGCGNGAATCCATGCTGATGTAGACTGAGCAAGTTGTTTTCTTCGAGGTGCCGCATCAGCTCCGTTTTTATTACTCTTTCCATCAACTTGCAACAGATGCTAGTGAGACTCACTGGTCTGAAACTATTTGGGGCTGTTCTCTCGCCACCTTTATAAATGGGGCTTATATTTGCTTTCTTCCAGTCGGTAGGCAAAGCCCCGGTCTCCATCGATGTTTTGAAGATCTTGGATAACGGAGAGGCCAGTTGGTCTGAGAGCTCATTCAGAACTTTCGCGAACACGCCGTCCGGACCAGGGGATTTAGTGGGCTGTAGTTGCCTCAAAGTTTTCCTTACCGTGTCTGTTGTGAAGTCCACCGTGCTAATTGTACTGTTGGATTTGACATTTGGGGGGTAAACTCTTTCATCAAAAGCCGGCTCCTCAGTGTACACAGACGTGAAGAAGTCGGATAACAGATTCGCCTTATCTGAGTTGTCAGACAACGTATTTCCCTGGCGATCTTTTAGGCAGGGAATGCAGTCCCGGTTGCGTTTTGCTTTATTCACGTATCCAAAGAATTTTTTTGAATTTTGCGGGATATTTTTTAAAAGTTTTGACTCAAATTGTGCCCGTTGTCTCCTCAACAGATTCCGACATAAATTCCTCTGTTTTTTGAAGTCAGCCAAATGCTCTGGTTGTTGAAAACTTGCGTACTTTTTCCAAAGTCTCCTTTTCAATTTAAGATTCTTCTTTATTCCTGACGTCACCCACTCTGGTCGGGATGTGCGCGGATTCCTCTTCAGTGGGCAACAGCTCTCTACTAAGTGCTGCATTATGTTCTTGAAGAAGAGCCAATCGCTTTCTGGGTCAGGTCCTTGTGCTGCATTCCAGTTCACCTTCTGTAACAGGTTTTTCATTCGGGTAAAATCCCCCTTCCATACGTTTCTTTCCTCAGCAGCTCGAAGTTCGGGTACTGAAAAATGACTATACTCCCAAACCAGAACGCAGTGGTCACTTCGGCCAAGGGGCGGGTGCGATTCCAATCCGAGAATGCAACTATCATCCCTGGTGATTATGAGGTCCAAACAACTGGACTGCTGTCCATCCCTGAATCGAGTGTTCACTTTAACGTGTTGGGTAAGGAACTCCGTTGTGATCAGTTGCATAAATTTCTGTTCGAAGGAGTTTTCTGATCGGGTGCAATACATCAAATGCCAATGTATGTCTGGACAGTTAAAGCCACCAAGTAGCATTATGTGTTTGCTTCGACAAATTTCTTTTATCTCAGTGATAAGTGCATCGTCCGCATCCGTTCGCTGGCTTGGCGGTCTGTAAACCAGGGCCAGATGGAGGCTTGGATGGTTTGACACCTTCAAGCAACAACTGAGTATTTCACAGTCAATGTGCCGAAATGGGGAAGATTCAACCCGGACGTAGTCGATGCCATCCCGTATAAATATCGCAATTCCCCCACCCCTTCGTTCGTTTCTGTCCATTCGGATAATCTGGAAGCCATCTAGCATAACTTCCGCATCTTCTATCTGCGCATTTAACCATGTTTCTGTTAAAGCTATCAAGTCGGGTTGGAAATGGGCCACACTGAGTTTTATTTCATCTAATTTGTTGAATAAACTTTGCACATTTGTGTACATCATTTTAATGTTATTCGGCTGTTTCGGTCTCTGGAAATTGTTTGCTGGTGCTTTTGACTGATAGTTATTACTGCTTATTTCACATGGCGTACCATGTCCATTAGTCGATTGTGAATTAACTGCAGTTTGTCGGAATCGAGCGCCGGTGCTGTTACCGTCATCGTTACCGGATGATTCCACAGGAAGGAACGCTCTATTTTTACAATTTGATTGTTGGCTATTTTCAGATTCATTTCGCCCTCGTTCTGACGTTTTCTCAGTTCCGCTACCAGCATCCTCATTTTCATTCGTTCGATTGGGTGATAGTCCGGCTGAAAAAACACTCCACGGTGGTTGTTTCGGAGCCTGGACTTTCGCGACAAGATGAGATTTGCTTGCTGTTCGTTTCCCAATACGACTTTCAGTGGTCTCGGCCGCAGTTTGTCTGCGTTGTTTCTTACTAAGGGTCCCAAACGGAAGATCTTTTGGATTTCGACGACCACACCGGGTTCTTGCGTGTCATTGAGTAGGTTTTGGAATGTCTGCAGATCGTGTTTCACCCTATCGTTCGGGGCATCACCAGGTGCTTCAGGAACTCCTTGCACTACCACACAACGAGATCTGTCGGGGAAAAAACCGGTGCTTTTATCCTGCCCCCTTTTGCTGGCGGTAGATTGAGTCTCAGACTCTGGGACTGCCTTGGTGGCTTTATCCAGATCAGTTGCTAAGTTGCTCGCGTCCGTGATATATACAGTAACGTCTTTATTTGGCTGCCTCACCTGACTTTTTGCATTATAGCCTGATAGACATGTGAAGGACAAGCTGCTAGCCCTCTTTGTTGGCGTACGTAAGTCCATACGATTACATTCTACAGGTTTTTTTGGGGTTGTTGATCGTTGTTTTGTTTTGGTGCAGACGGACTCTGCATGGTCCAGATTTGTCAAATTTATGGAAATGTGAGCGCCAGTTTCATCTCTGTCTGTCATTTTTTTATTGCCGTCCATTTCGGTTGAGTCCGAAGACTTGTCTAGTGACTTCGTGCGTTGTCTCTTGTTTCGCTGAACGCGACGACTATGACCTTTTACCGGTTTCTTGAGGTTTATGTGGTCCGGCTCATTGGTGTTTTTCATGTCCTTTGTGCCTTGCTCAGGGGGTTTAATTTTATTATACTTAAGAAGTGACGCTATTATTTCAGTGAGGAGGTCGACGTCTACTTCTAGTTTCAAGGCACTATCCTTCAAGGCACTATACTTCTAGTTTCAAGGCACTATCCTAGGCCTTCTTCTATTTCTCATATATATTCACGACTTATCGTCCATATCTGTCACAGCTAAGACGTTTTTATGTGTGGACGACCTGAAATTTGCACATGCATATAACGGGAATACAGTAGCCAATATTCACAGAACAATTGAAACTGATCTCAGAAAATTCAGCGAATGGATTAGTCAATGGCAGATGCCCTTTTCACCCGAAAAATGCCATCTCCTGATATTTGGCCCATAAAAACTTCCTCCCATAATATCCGAGCATAACGAAATAACGGAGGTCCAATCGGTTAAAGATTTAGGTCTCAGCTATACAAATACCCTTGATTTATCTCCCCACGTCCAACAAATATTACCGAAAGCCACTCGCCTGTGCGGATTCATATGCAAAAATTTCACCCTGAATGCACTAAGAATAAAACTTTTCAAAATGTACGTTTTACCTCTCTTCGATTATTGCTCAGTTTTCTTCGGTATAATGCCCTCAGACGGCAGAAAAAAACTAGAAGGCATTCAGAGACGTTTTACTAAATCTTCATCCAGAAGTGATGGCATCCAGAGTTCATACTTAGCACTATATCATAAATACGGTCTTCGACCACTCTGGATCAGAAGACTCCAAAATGGTCTAAACTTCCTATTCAAGGTCACCAATGACCAAGGTATTCTCAAAATGAATTTTTTAACAAACCAAAACGCCCCCAGAAATACTAGAAATAACGAAGACATTATAAGGGTCCCCAAATGCACAAAGTCCCAACGGTCAAATTTCTACTCCATAAGGTATGCGACTACCTGGAACGCTCTTCCAAGTTCTATCCGGAAAAGTCGAACCCTAATCGAGTTTAAAATAAAAACCAAGAAATTCCTCTCAAATAACAATACAAATTTGTTTTTGAATAAGATAGGACATTTTTCAAGTCAATTCTTTGATATGGAATTTGGTCCAAAAGGGCTCTGATGATTCCAGCCGCATGAATAATACCGGAACATAGCACTAAAAATAATCAAATTTATAAAAGGTAGCATCATTGATAAACATAGAACAGATAGTTATATTCTATTTTTTTTCCTCTCTTTCTCGTTTCCATCAGCTATGTCACCTGACACTAAATATCCCTTAGGAAGCTAATAATAACATTCCCTTCGATAAAACCCTGCATATGAGTTGTACGTAAGTATATATTAAGGGCATATTAATCATATATACAACTACATTTGATCATAGGTAACAGTCGACCACTACACTTATAATGCCACATTCACAATAACAATATGATATATGCTTCAATATTATTTTGACACCTTTGATTGTGACTTACCATTGAATGTTTCTTACTTATGACATGTATTCATCTATTCCAGCTCTTAGTTCAGACAATTATGGCAAGCCTCCTGGAAAACACGAAGGAAATGTGCGACCGCCCCTTTGCAGCTGGCCAGATAGACTGACAACCACCAATTAGAAAACACCCAAATTTAACCAACTGGAAAATAATTTCAAGTGTAGCGGCCGAGGTCGTCAAGGGTAGCGCACAACTACGTAACGGAATACCGAGGAAGAGATCCTGGCTTGTGTTGATCTGAATGCGATTGTTAGCAGTTCACGATACTCATCCATTCATAAAGGAAGAAGAAATGATCAGTGGACGGGAAGATATAATGAACAGAAAAGGGAATTGAAAAGATGTATAATGACAGTTAAAAGTACAAACGGGATGAGTTACAACAGTCGAGTGACCTGTCTGGGTGGAGAGGCGAGGCCAACATGCCAGCTGGAAGATCGGTGGGGAACGCAGCGCTGGGGGCAACTGCAGGGAAGGGCCGAGGGGGTTACCGATGTAGCGAGGGAAGCGGTACGAGCGTTACGTCACGATACGGAGCAGGGGAAGGGATCGGCGGAGGAGAGCGGAAGGGACACCGGCTATCTTCACCAACGTGCGGCTACGCCATCTCCATCCTAGGTCCGCGCGCCGAGAGTGTCACGGCCTTCAAACGACCCTGCCCAGATCAGGGGACGTTACACAAGGTCAGGCCGATATCAAAGTTCTTCAATTTCCATGAAGGACTTATTATTCATGCCACCAAAAACTACCAAACTGCACACTTCAATCTTTATATTGTACATATCGTTCTTTTTTAAAACTTTTGTTATTATTTTGCCTTAGAACTCAGGTTTTTTTTAACTTCAAACAAACTCTCATTTCGCTCTTTTTTGGCTAAGCACCCAAAACCAATGAAGTCAAAGGGCAGCCGAAAGAGAAGAGTTTGTTTAGGTTTTTTTCCTGAGTTCAAAGGAGACTGGCAGTGCCCAAGGGGCGCTATAATAAACCTATTCTATTCTATTTACCGTTATCTTCCTTCCCGCCATTCTTACATTCGTAAAATCGGTTGTCACTTTATCACTCCCCATCCCTTCGTTTTCTTACGATCAGTTCTGACTCTGTTAGCACAGGTCCTCGTCCAAATGGCTGGATCTAACTCGAAATGACGGTTTGTTTATTTTTTTTATTCTTAACTCAACTGATAAATAATACTTCAATGTCCCGTTATTCAAACAGTTTGGGTACACTCCATGCGGTGATGACCCTTTAGAAACAACCGTACAAGTAAACCACTTCTCTTTCTAGTTTCCGGAGGGCAGGGATGAACTGGACCACCCGTTGAAATCCTGGTTGTTGGCCTCCAAATGAGCAAGGAGTGACGAGCCGAAGGGTGCAACCAACAACAGGAAATTCCACAGGTGGCCCAGCTCATCCCAGTCTTTCAATAGCAAATGTGGCCGTCCAGGAGGTAAGATAAACTCTAACCGCACACAATAATGTCTAACTTTAGAGATCTGCGAGAACAGGTTTATTCTGTACACAGGACAAGTTGCTGTGTCGGCTGTTCGCTTGTGTCAGAGGTAAACGTCCGTTCCCGGAGAGCGTCAGTCGCGGTGTGTCACATGTCCTTGTCTGCATGAGGGATTGTCTAGCCGAGGGCTGAATATGTAATTGGTTGGTTTAAGGTCTGTGTCGGGTGACGTGATAACAAATGCACACTGGTAAAAAAAACCAGACGATCCGATGCGCGTGGGACGGAAAAGTTCATGTGCGCAGCCCTGACTCATTACAGCTGAACCTGAGATGCCCTAGCTCAGGGCTGGCGGTTGCCGTGCGTCAGGAGTGTGTCTGGAGGTTAACGCTTTTGTCGCAGTCATTGACAGGCAAAGACACGTCGCGAAAGGGGATACTGGAGAGGCTGCTACACAAATAATGGTAAGTAGTTCTTTGTACGGCTCTTTCTACAGGGTTATCTACGCGAGAAGAGTACCGACCTTCTCTTCCTAAAAAGAGTCTTCTATTACTAGACGACTGTGCTAAAAGAGAAGACCAACGATCTTTTCAAATTCCCATGATCCTGTCCGTCCTAGTCCGCTCCAGCACTTCGGACGGGGACAAATGTTGTCAGGGGGCAACGGCTTAATCGGCATCCAGCCAATCACAGCTTACAAGCATAGTTAAAACGGACTGAAAGTATCGGCTGCTCCTAGTCAAAGGAGTTTGCAATTTGCAAACGAAAATCAAATGCCCTTTCTGCTTCTTGATCTTTAACCCAAAGTGAACATTTTGATAGATCTCGACCAATCAGAAAGTGCAAAAATGCTTATTTAGGTCAGGAAACATAGGGTAGCACCACTTATCTGGTTTCTAGTAGACGACAAAAAGTCTAGGGTAAGCATATAGTTCTATCATATTATTGCATCAATTAGGTTGTGTCATTTGGTTAAAACTTACGCTAAGGCCACTCTGACGGGTGGCGGGCAACCAGTTATTTATAAGGCAACGTCAACTTTTCAAATTAACATTGTGTTTCTGGCAGCAGAGCTTGACATACACTTTTTACCAGCGGTTCCAAAATCACGGTGACTGTCAACGGTTAAAAATAATCCGAAATGAGCTTCGCCTCCAGGCCCATGTTCCTATTGGAGTGTTTGGTTGCATGTCCCTTGAGTTCTATTGGTCGGTGGGGCGTGCCGCTTCCAAATAAACCGTGCAGACATCTCTTGCCGGCGTTGTATTGTAATGGCAGTTGGCATTCTCTTTTGTACGTTCCCATCATTTTTTATGTTGTACTGTGCTGTCTTGTCTTCTGTTTCATTTCTCCAATTGTCATCTATCATGCAGAAGAAGTGTCTGACTATTTCTGAATGACTCAATTTACAGACATTTTTATGCCTAAGTATCTTCCCTTCACTGCACTCCGTGGCTTATGTGTTCTTTATTATTCATCCCATTTTTACCGTTCCTTCTGTGTATTTAGACAAATGCATGACTATCGTTATTCGTCCCGTTCTGTGGTCTAAAGAATCGCCAGGTCACTTCGATGGCCTAGCTAGGGCTCCGTTCTTACACGAAAGCATGATTTTTCTCCATCTTTGTCGTTGTGGCGCTGTAGCGGCCGAGGACGTCAAGGGTAGCGCACAACCACGTAACGGAATACCGAGGAGGAGATCCTGGCTTGTGTTGATCTGAATACGATTGTTAGCAGTTCACGATACTCATCCATGCATAAAGGAAGAAGAAACGATCGGCGGACGAGAAGATATAATGAACAGAAATGGGAATTGCAAAGGAGTATAATGACAGTTAAAAGTACACGCGAGATGAGTTACAACAGTCGAATGACCTGTCTGGGTGGAGAGGCGAGGCCAACATGCCAGCTGGACAACCGGTGGGGAGCGCAGCGCTGGGGGCAACTGCAGGGAAGGGCCGAGGGAGATGCCGATGTAGTGAGGTCAGCGGTACGAACGTTACGACACGATACGGAGCGGGAGAGGGGATCGGCGGAAGAGAGTGGAAGGGACACCGGCCATCTTCACCAACATGCGGCTACGCCATCTCCATCCTAGGTCCGCGCGCCAAAAGTGCCACGGCATTCAAACAACCCTGTACAGATCACGGGACGTTACATAGCCTCCTCCTGAGATGCAGCACTGTCCTCAGTGCTGCTGGAGTTGGAGCTCGGAAGGGGGGAGAGGTGTGCGCTCCTCTCCATCCCACCGCTGCCACCAATGTAGCGGCCGAATAAGGAGGGGCTCCGGGAAACTCGGGAAGACCTGAGTTGGTATGTGATGGCTTGCGGTCTTTCGTATGGGTATCTAAAGAAAACTCCTCTAAAAGTCGTGTAACTCCATCATACACACTAGCAAAGGAAAGTGGTGGAGTGGACATGATAGCGACGAATGAACTGATACAAAAGTTTATTAGTAAAACGTTAGAGACACGGTAGAAAAATAAGTTTGATGTGATCTATGACGTAAGGTAAAAATAGCGGTACAGACTACTAATCAACTAAGAGAGTACAACTTAATCCTACAATCTGATAAAACGTGAAACACGGGAAAGGGTTAGTTAATGGTGAAATAAACGAGGCGGAAAACGAATCGGCAGTTCAGGAATACGGAAACGATAAGGAAAAGGGGACTTAGCGGAGGGCGTGTCGACAGGCGTCAGCTCCGATCCACGTGACCCAAATTCTGAAAAGGGGGGGCGGGAAGTAAAAAAAGGTCCGTTTAAAACAATCGGTCGTTACAGCGCCTTTGCAATTGCTTGCACATGAAGTCCGGTTCGGTGACTGCTGGAAAAATAACCTACGTATCGGAAACAGTTGTGTTGACTTTCGCCCAGTCGATATTTTTCGTAATTTTGAAAGGTCTGCATTCGGAGTGGTCTGAAGTACGGTAAAGTTTACATGTCACGGCTCTCTTGCGTTTTTTAGCTGGTGGTAAAAATAACGTCAATCAACGGAAATGTAGGCGACGCATTCAGGCTTCCATTCAATGAATTCACTAACAATTATGGCCCCTGAAAGGAATACTTCGTGATATCAAACCTGTTTATTTGGAAGGGTACTTGGTGGAGTTATCAATGCTGATAAGTAGATTCCTCCGTCATTCACGATCTTTAGCCCTTCTAAATGATATGTTCTGTCTTCATAAATATGAGAAATGTCCTGCGGTGTATTCTTGCCTACGCAAGGGAACAAAAATAGGTTCCGCCGCCTAAAGCGGACACTGCGTCAAGGAACATGGGTAGACGAATGGAAATCGTAGTAGGTAGCGACCTAAGACAGGAAATGTTTAATCCGGTTCTTCTGCGACGAGTTGGGCATTGCCTCTTCCATTCCTTCCATAAAACTTTCACCACTTTCTGTTTTAGCTTACGCCCTCAGAGGGCTTTGCGCATTTGTTGTATCGGCCGGCGTTTGGTACGTGACTTTACTTTTCCGGGATATGCACTCTTCCAACGACAAGAAGCGAATATTGGACAAACTCCTCCACAATCAGAGCCATGTCTTGGACAAAAAGGTGACTCATTTTTCGTAAACCGCATCGTGAAATTGCGTATTCATTTTTGTTAGCTCTTACGAAGCCTCGTCCGTCAAAATAGGGTGCTAGTTTTGCTCTCGTTTAATACAATGTGGTGAGAATTCCAGTCCGATGTTAAATGCAATAAATCTGCTCGGTTATAACCGTACTGTTCCCACCCCACCCAATTATAGAGCGATGTGCGAACTTCTCAATACATTAAGGACGATCCACTATTGGACACAATGATGGGAAACCTTAAGACTCTCCACGAGGTCTTCCAACATGGCCTCAGCGTTGCTAGTGAGTATTTCTACACATTTTACGCTAGCACTTGACTGTCCCTACTTACATGTGCCACAATTTCTCAACCTATGCATGCTTAGTGATGTCGTGTTTTGCTTCCCCACGTGCCGCAACCGGCGGTAGCGATTAAGGGATTCCTAACCACTTCCCCGTTGACCATAACCTAATATCTCAGGTCCAAGAACCACTTCCATATCTTGACGGCCCCACTAATCAGGGGTTTGAGCTGACCCCTTCACCACCTTCGGCGAGACGGTACCGAGCTTAGGGTGACATCACTGAGTTCGTAGGACCTGCGACGAATAACGTTGGCATAAGTTGTCACTCTCAGCCGACCTGGAATTTTCCGCCTTTGTTGCACTGATTGTGAAGTGCGCCGTATGGAACACAATCTGTTTATTTTACTTGGGAATCGTCCCTGGCCTGCGTCTTCTTGAAGTCCTATTTTCGTTTCTCCGCACATCATAACTGACAGTATAGACGGATGAATAACTGGAGAGACTCCCGGCACATGGATCCTTGTGACGAATGAAGTGTCACAAAGACTTCGTGAACATCGTCAAGGGCTCGTGAGAACCCTGCAGGCGAAATCGAATTCGGCAACAGTTTCGTTCCCTTTGCCCAGTAGGCACAGCCTTCCGGACTTGGCGGCCGTTTGATTTGCGATGCACCTAGGTAATGCTTTAATTTCGAAAGCGTTAGTGGACATACCGACTGATTTATCGACCTGTACCAGCGTCATAGATTTACGCTAGCTATGTGTCTGTTAGCATAGCCCGGGTCAGTCAGCCGACTCCTTAAATCAAACTCGTTCCCCTTGAGTCCGCATATAGCTTCAAGAGTCTCGTCACCGCCGCGTTAAATCGAGTGAGCAACAGGAGACATCCTTGTCGGACATTGCCATATTTTTGGATGTTTGTGACGTTAATGCTAAGGACTCAGATAGCGTTTGAGCTGGTGTTGTCCTTGGTCCGAACGGCGTTGTTTCCCGGTACACCATATACTTTATCGTCATTTGCTGGGAGTTTCTGTTGTACACGTATGCGGTCGTTGCCCGTCTTCAGCTGCGGTCCGTTATGTATGCCTGCCTTTGCAACTATTTACGAATCCCGTGTTGTTCCACACTCATTGTGTTTTTGTTAATATGCACATGCTTGCTTATTCTTATGCCTACGCCTTCATCTGAATTCTTTTCATGGTCGGTCTTTGTCAATATTCTGACCTAACATACATCAATGTTACTGCCACCATGCCACGTTATCCACTTTTATTTGCTCTCTATATATCAATGATGTTTAGGGGTGTTTCGGCGCTTCAACATAAGGCTGACTACTCTGAACATGGGCGATATTCCCACTTTTATGGCCGTGTGTTTTGCTTCCGATCACATTTTAATGTTACCCAAACAGGTAGCTAATTTTATGGTCTCTGACCTCCCGCGAGTGAAGTTGAAACTACTGCCCTAGATCTAAGTCCTTGTCTTACATGCCTCCTCTCCCGTTTTGCGGTCCTTTTTCACTGTCATCTCCTATGATCTGGTCTGGCCGCTCTTTTATGCCGATATTCTATTAGGGCATTCCAGTGATGATTATTTTCATTTTCTTAGGCGACTATTGTTGCCGGACCTGAAATTTCCTCAATACGTGTCCTCCTTTCGTCACCGTCTGTAGCAAAAACCTTTAGTCGAGCCTACTTTTCATAGCCGATGTGTATATCAGTCTGCCTCCCCTTCCCTCCCCCCGTCCCTCCCCTGCACGAATTGCCCCCTTTTTTTCACTACTTTGGACTTTACGTACGCGTCCTCCCTACAATTTGGTTTTGCCATGTGACTATGACTGGGCCTTTTTCACTTATAGAGAATCACGCATGTCTTGGTTGGCGAGAAACGCCCACATCCCCTTATCAGTGGATCACCTATAGCGAAGTAAGTTGGTCTGCCAGCTTACGACTTTCGTGCTTCATCTGAGCTTCAGTCTCCCGACCATATAAGCTCTACCCGATTCTTTCTGACACTTCATTTCTCACCTGATGTAAGGTGTTTGACAGAGTCTGTATGCTTGGCTCCGGTCTTCGAACCTTCCGCCCCGCTGACGTGGACATATTCTGCATTGGCATTTACGCCGTAAACTGCGTTGAGGTGAGTCATCTGAGTCCTTTTTTAAAGCAAGAGAAATTGTCGTAAATGCCCTTGTTGCAGCTAGCCATGTTCCTAGACGAATTTTGTTTTCGTTTTTGAAATTGATGACTTCTAAAACAGTGAAGCAGTTTCTCAACTAGGTGGTCGTGCGTCTGCCATCCATATCGTCGTATGTCGAAGCTTTTTTTTTACTCTGAAGAGACAAACAAATGTGTAAATGTTGCTTTAGTTAGTCTCACCTTATGCCGGCGTCTTTTCTTCTCAGTCGCCCTGTTCCTACCTTTGTCCTTTCTTAGTGGGCAGTTACCCAGCAAGCTTGCTCCACGTTCGGCTATGTCATTGTCCCCTTGTATGACACCCTTGGCGATGAGGCTCGAAAGTACATTCTCGGACAAAGTAAGTCCTTTTTCAGTGCGGCACACTGATGTTCTTCCCTCCCCTCCCCCACTTCATTCCCAGATGATGTGCAATCTTTTACAGAAACATACCCACCCGTTCTGTGTAAGTGCTCTCTCACGTAACCCTGCCATTCCGGCAATGAGACTGAAACTGTGCTTGCGGGAAAAGCGTCGTTTTCACTTTTTCCACTACAGCGACTGTTCTAACGTGCGACTGCTCTTGTCCGTATCTTCAAGGAGCTCGTTACACATACACAGGCTCTTTAACTTTTTAAATTGCAGTTAGACGGAGGTAGGGAGGATTCTACGGGACGGAATGCAGCGCAGAAAGTGATCGCTATCGCTCGGAACTCATGTAGCCTGCGTTTATCTTCGTTTAGGCGTCATACCACAAAGGATTAAATTCGAGGCATCATTAAATATTAGTGCGTCGTATTCTATTCGGAAGTGAAACAGAGGTAGCAGTGAAGATTTTTAAGCCCATTCTATCTCAAAATCCCGTGAAACTTGCACTTTATTCAACATTTGCTAGTTTACCTGTCGAGGATCCATCATTATAGTGACCAAAATTCCCTACCAGTTATTAATCGTCTTCCTCGTGTTTAAATGTGTTTTTTTCCTGAGTAAGCGAGGCCTGTATGCGCACAATGACTTCAGAATAGTGGCTCTTTAATGTGAACACTCCGTTGGAAACCCGGAAAACCTGAATTATGCCATAACTCGTCGCATCTCTCTTCATCAAACGGAAGTTACCAAAGGTCAAGACGTCTGAGCTCACATAGCAACCGTGTCAATAGCAAAATATAAAACCATGGTCCCCAGCCAATTTCCTTTGTCATAACAGTCAGTATTGCAAAGTCGATTTTCGAAGCCCGTCTAACTGGAGTCGCTAAAAATAATCGAACCTCTCTTGATGTCGCCCAGACTTTTGGATGTCAAGCAACCGTGACAATGCCTGTAAACGGCCACCCGATTATGATGATTATGATTATTGCAGCAAACGCCATGTCATGACGCGTTTGGTGCAATATGACTTTTGGGGCCATTCATCAGGACTACACTCAGCTGTGGCGAAGCCGTCAGTGCTGCATAATCCTTGGACTTCCGAACGCGTAGTTCGCAGCAGCCAACAGAGGGGAGCTCCGGCACTCGCTACTGGTCGACGTGCCAGGTAGACCGCGACTAGGCCAAAGCCCCCTGTCTTGTCTTCCACTGGCTCGTGTCTTCCTGTTGCCCAACTGGATGGTCAGCCTTCACAATGAACGAAGCCGTTCAATCGCTCACTTAACGAGTGTCCTAAAGCCATGATTGCATATTGTGAGGTCGAGGATTTGGATTTCGGCGCAAACCAGTTAACCTCTTTTAAGGGACGTAGGGTAAGGTCTACTGACAAACTGTCATGACCCCCATCAATTACCGCTTATCCTCTTGCGAGTGCTATTTTATACTACCAGTTAGTGATGGTGCCAGCCGACGATATCACTTATTACCATTCTTATCATAATTACGGCGGTGATGATTTCCTACTGCTGTTCGTTCTGAAGCTTGTGACCGTGGTAATGGTGATGACTGGAAAACAACGACATGAATGTTGGTAATTTGTGATGTGACTAGGTTTCGTCTCCACTTATGGGTTCCACGGAGTACTATTTGCAGTGAGGAGTTGGTGACCAGCCGGAGCTATTGCAATCACCTGTCGCGCCCTCCCCGTTTTAGCCGCACTTAGTCCCGGGATTCTGTACTGTTTTATGGCAAGCGGTCGTTTCTTCTTCACATGCGACGCTTCAACGCTTGTTGGTGTTGGACAGGAAATTACTCCCCTCGATGCCATTAAACCTCAAAGTCCAACTGCAGCCCTCAGAGAGGATTCGTCGGTTGTCAAAAGGACGGTTGAGATGTGTATAACTGCACAAAGTTTGCTTGGTGGGAGGGATGGTTTCTTCTAGTTCTTCGACTCGGTTTATCAGTTTAGGGTCCTGGGATTGCGCTGAGCGGCAAGTGAGGCCCTATTGGATGGCGGACAACATTAGCTGTATCTTGATGCCGATGTGACTTGTGCTTCTTTTGCAAAGGGAACCAATTTAGCATGAGTGCCTAGCCGCGTCTGGGAGCATTGGTGTCGCATGGCCTGCAAATGCATATTTGCTAGGCCCGAGCCACCGCTTACTTCGCGATTAAACCTCGCAAGGGACTGCTTTAATACCCGTTGCCTGTGGACGTGCTGGGTAGTCCGAAAGTAAGATGGCCTAGTCTTCCTGGAGTTCTGATCGTTCCGACTCTTTTGCGATCTAGTCTTCTGAAGAATGTCTCTTATTAGGACATTTTATGGTCGACGATCTTTTGTCAATTCCTATACCGCTTCCGACCTGCCTTATTTCCAGTGTCCGAAGCCGTGCAGGATCGGATCCGCTATCTTTCCGAATTCACGACGGACAGTGCACAAACCCCTTCTACGGAGCGCCTCGATGTCGTGTTCAGCAACTTCAGCGAAGCCATTAGTTTGTAGTCCCAGTGTACGCAGGCGCCTCAGTTAACCGTTAGTAAATGCTACGAGGTATATTTTTCAGATGTTGTTAGCAGATGCTACCAGCCTTGATGGAGAATAAGTGGCTGTATCACCCTCTGGGCTATTCTAAACTATGATGGTCGACATTTCTGACTCCATTCCCCATTGCCTAAGATTAAAAACCCTGCGAAATTCCTCTTTATTCTTCCTTCAAAGGCTGTGATGTCATCTAGGCGATTCTGTAGGTTTTTGCAAGAGCAAGTAGGGACTCGGTGAACTTCATTCTCCCTGTTTTGTCTTTTCAAAAGGAAACTATTCTCACAGTCGTTAAGGTTGCCAGACGGTTTTGAAAATCGTTGGCCATCGTATCGTCGAGACCCCAGACTACGGTCTCCTTCGGGCGACCTGTGCCAAATCAGGACCGGTTGCGGCCGAGCTACTTGCTGGGCGCCGAAGCCCTTTTTGGTGGGACCAATGCGTCCCAAAACCGCCGTCCCCACTCTTTTCAACCCTTGCTAATGCTTTTGGCCTGCACTGTTCTTAGCTCTCGCCAGTCGCTTGTCTTGTGCCTGCCCAAGTTCGTTCTGTCCTTACGGTACGAGCGCGCTCTTTTCTCTTGTGTCTGCGTTCAGCGGAGCTCTCGATATGCATCTGTGACTCAACCACACGCGCTCGCAATCTTCTCTCCGATCTCACCGAAGCCCCCTCCCTCAAGAACATTGTCTTGACAAAGGCCAGTGAAGAAGATCTCGCCACCCTGCGTTCCGAGGCTGCTGACCGCGTCCAGATTTTACTTTTTAAAGACGTCCTGGTAGGTTTTGCTTTCACCCTTTTCTCAAACTCGGTGATTTTTTCACCACACAGCCTTTGGATTCATTATCTCCTCTTACTTTGGTCACCCATACAGCCTTGTGCTTTAACCGCACCGAGTTTTCCTACCTTCGGTCTTAACGTTCTCCAGACATGCTCACTCAAAGGCAGACCGTGAATGGTCTGCACTCAATTGGAAACTCGAACTCCCCATTACCCCCCTATATTTACCAGTTTACGGCGTATTTTGAGAAATATCTGTGTGCAAAACTGGATAACTGCTCTAGAACTAAACCATTTTGTTGTCATGATAAAATTTCCAGAAGGGTTGATCAGCATTCATAGTCTCCTGTCCCCGACTTGTTTATGCATACTCGTGGGGACTGCTCCCTACACCCACCCGATTCATATGCAACTTCTTCCGCTACTTTAGGATCTTGGTCGTGTGGACGCTCGGCCCGAGAAGGTATGAAGTTGCATGGCATTACTGCTTGTGCATATTACTACTAATAACTTTTAACGTTGATATAAAGCATTGTTTCGTACACACATGGCCATCCACTCATGAGTACTTTACTTCCTTCGTTTGCTTCTTCAGCTTCCAGAACCAGATGATCTTCATCTCCTGTGCTACACTAGTGGGACTACAGGTGTGTTTGCATGCGCCTCATTATTAAGAAGACATACCTGGCCAAGTACCTTGTGGATTTTTCACTATCTGCTTCACTATCATAATTATCAGCGCCTGTCGCCGCTGCTATTGCCGATAGGAGACAGCGATGTACATTTGTACCCAGTCTTTCAAGTTTATTTTGCTCTGTCTCCATATTTATGGGGTCCCTGCATCATCTCTTAAATATCCAGCCAGCCTTTGTTTGAGACATAGCAAGGTTGAGATGGAGATGGCAGGCTTAGCGCTGGGCATCAACAGTTCTAAGCCTGCATTTAGACCACAGAATGTCATTATCACGTAGATGTTTCATTAAGCGAATGTCGAGAACTTGCTCCCCCGTTGAAAGTCTCACGGCTATCTAAACGCTTGACGCGCCAAAGGAATGTTAAACGCCCGCCGCACAGCGTTCCCTCCCACGCAAACTGTCGTGATGACGAGTCTTCTGGCCTGGGCTAGTGTTTTGGCTCATTCAGGCACGTCTGTTATTACCGAGTGGGTGTCTTATTTTTAGGGTCCAGTGTTGGAATGAGCTCTTCTATCGTCGATGAAGGCTGTAGACTTTGACATGGCCTGGCAAGCGCTAGGGAAGAGGGGGAAGGGATGCGCGCCCGATCTCTTTTTGTACCTCTCCATTCATTCGTTCTTCATTCAGCTGCCTTCTGTGGCAACCGTTGACCCTGCCGCCTCTCCCTTCCAGGTCGTCCCAAAGGCGTAATGATCACACACAAGATGATTGTCTCAGTCATTGGTGGCTTTGATATGGACCTCCAAGAAGTGGTAAGCAGTTGCATTTCAGTTTACCCTACTTTCACCCTACTTGTCGGCACCGTGGCGCAGACCATCCCTATTTCCACTGCCACTTCGCTTAATATTCGGACGCAAGTAGCATGCCGAGACACCCAAAAGAGAACGGGTTCCGGAAAGTAGAGGATTGGAAGAGGGAAAGGATTCTGTCGCTGAGGCACAAATTTTTCTTTTTGACTTCGGAATAACTCCAAAAGTCAGCACTAGCGGGCCCCAACATAGGAGGGTAGCATACGCACAGGAGGAGGATGTTTGCATAATGCAGCTTCTGCCTACCTGTAGCTATCTTCTGGGCTGATCGCCAAATTATGGTGGCCTTCAGGAAAGCGGCAAATTTGACACAAGTACTTAGCCTCAGTATCAACCCAGTCAGGCCTCTACGGGTGTGGTTGCGTAAGGATGCTCTATCAGCGCGTCCAGACACACTGCAGTTAGTCGGAAGACAAGTTCGCTGAATTACACTACCTTTGACGGGTGCTCGAAGCAAATGGGTATCTGTGCAACTTCGTCATCCAGTGATTTCTTAGTTGTTTCGAGAAACGTCACCGACCCCCGGCCCCAGGGCTGTTAGCTCTCCAGTACTCCAAGTTTCCCGTAAACAATCTTTTACCTTACGACACTCGGAGCTGGGCTTGCACTCAGATCAGAGTCAATTGTCAGGCGCCGTGTGATGAGATCAAAGAACCGACTGTCACTCCACGAAACATGTGGAGTCGTTTGACGGATCCGCTGCGGTTGCGGGCAGGACAATTACGTCAGGGAAACTGGAAGGTAGCTGCAGACGCCGACAGCTGATTACGCATCACCAGGGAGTAGGAATGGCGCGAACTCAAGTTGTCAGTCATTTGGGGGGACCCACCACACCTGTAAGTTCAAAGAAACCAACATAGTCGCTAGGGGTGAGAACAGCGTGAACCGCGAGCAGCTCTGTTTATGGTTCTCCGCCCCTCCAGAGTCACTTAGTCACGCGCGGAACCCACGGGTGAGCCCAGTGTCATTGTTGTTAAGCTAGATTGCCGAGCAGTTGCCACGCTAATCACCAACGCCAGTGATGAAGTTGCGGCCATTACTTACTCAAACACGGGCGGCTGAGTCACTATCGTACCATGCACGAACATCCGCGATGAATGCGGGAGCTGCCAATTTCATTAGGTTTGTGGCGGCCTAACAACTGCACCCTCTAAATATGACGCCCCCTCCCTCTATGTCCACCATCTCTGTCGGTTGCTGTCTTCCGATCGTGCGTCGAAGGGTGGATCCGGATCGTCGGGCAAATGTTTCATCTTTTTAGCCTTTTCGACATTTCGGGTGCCCTCCAAGTGACAAATCATACCGTTAGCAGGGTCACACAGAAGAGTCTTACCTTCTGCTACTGTCAGAAAAAGTTTTCAGCTTAAATGTTCATTCTGCTCACTTGTTATACCGAATTTTCTTGTTACCTAGAGTGTAGAACTTTACTCTCGAAAACTGGACTTCGCCGTATTTGAAAGTCCCACATTCTACCACAGAACCTAGACGATCATGCTTCACATTTCATAAAGGAGGTCAAATTGTTACTCGGCCTGTCTTGCCGTCAATACTAGTCGCGTGTGTAATTCCTAACACAGAGCGTTAGCATTTAGGTATTTTTGTAATCCTCCCAGCCCTCAGAGGGAGTTTCGACTGAACTGTAGCCTAGCAGTCGTTCTGACAGTATTATTTTTTTGATTTTGGAGATTTTCACGTCCATTTATTTTCCTTTTTCCTCCTAGAATATAGTCCCTGGCGACGTCTACTTGTCCTTCCTTCCCCTGGCACATGTTTTCGAACAAATTGTCATGGTAACTCGTTCACTCTTTTGTTAACTGATTGTTAAGTTGCTCCTCAACATCTGTGGAAATGAGCATTGGCATACCCCCACGTTTGCACGTGTCCGAATAAATCGGGCAATGAGGCTCCTTAATGTGACTGGTGGCACGCTTAGACGTGGGTTCAGTCTCCTTTGCTACTGGACCCACACCCATTTTTATAGTCGACTTTGTCTTGCCATTTAGGACGTGGCGGTACGGGGGTATGGTAGATGCTAAGAGAGTCTCCCTTGCTATGACCCAATACACGCTCAAGCCACCTCGACGTTTGAGACAAAAAACGAACCATCGCCGAGGAGGCTACGCTACCATGACACGGCTTTTATTCAATAATCTCTGAATTCTATCACCCCGCCGCCCTCCCCTTTTGTATGAATACCCCGACTTAGCAATCTGCCACATTCCTTGATTACATTTCTCGACAGTTAGAGAAACCAGCCGATAATACTCATGCTATTAAGCCTCTACTGTACTATGAAGACCTCGTATCACTGACTGCAGTTAGTAGTAAGCCCGTTGTTCTTGACGATGGCTGTCTTTACTGCTTGTTTGTGGTGGACGGGGTACTTTGGACGATTTCATCATATATCCAGGGGTCTGCTGTAGAGTCGACTTCCTGTTTATAAATGTACGTCATCGGGGATAGCAGGTTGCGATGTTGTTGTTGCAGATGTTACTATTGGCCGGTCGATTCCAGGATCTGGGTGTCCGGGTTCTGTTCCTGCCACTTCACCTTCTGGGTCTTCTGAAGACAGTTGGGGTTGGAGCATCTGAGTCTCGTCGCAACTGGCCTCGCAATCGAAGACCCATCCTCTTCCTAACCACCGGTTACCGCTGTTTTTTAATCAATATCTGGTAAAGTTTCATGCTGGTGGCATGCAGGGTTTTTACGAATGAAAGGAATGAACGTGCAAACATTTCTTTCTACCAATAGCCTATCCCTCCCCTCTAGTCGTTCATCTAGGAGCCACCAACGTGCCACTCTCAACCCCCGAGCTGTCGGCTTCATTTCCTAATTTCTCTTTTCACACCTGCATTCTAAGCTGAAGGCGACTTGTGCCCGGCTCTTTTTTTATCCTCAAGCATTATGCCCTCGGCCGTGGTGCCGCCTACGGGTTCTACTCTGGTGACCTGCGAAACCTCTCAAATGACATCCTCGAACTGCGTCCTACCCTCTTCTGCGCCGTACCCCGCGTCCTCCAACGATTGTACGGCACTGTGCAATCCGCCGTCGCTGACTCAAAATTCAAGTCCTGGCTCCTGAAAATAGCCGTTGAGGCAAAGATGCGCTATGTTCGCAAGTAAGTGTCCCCCAATTTGCAAAACCGTTTTTTATAATACCATATCCTGTCTCCAATAGGTGTCGCTGGACTACCAAGAAGATTATAGCCGCCCCTTTCCGAGCTGTTAACAGTTATTCCGACCTCATCCCTAAAGATAATAACTGGCCTGGTTTTCGTTAAAATTGCCCTCTGTATCCACCACGGATATGAGCGATAGATGGACTTGTATAGTTTATAAAGGATCCAATACTGGATTCACTGGACACGTTCAGATTCACTGCCATTCCACCACGACCAATTACTACCACAAAACACAACGCCGTTGCTGCCATCGCGCACACCGGAATCATCGCTTCAGCCGCTCCTTTCACTTGTCCGCACTGCAGTGCATGCTTCGGTCCCAGTTTGCTCTGGTTGAACTTTTTCTTGTCCAGTCCAGCAGGAGCGCTACCAGGACACAAAAGCCAACTGCCGCCTGCAATGCAACTTGTCCGGATTGCGAGCGCACGTACTAATTCCTCATCGGCTTGATCATTGGCACTGCGAATTTACCGCAGTGCGGCCGGAGCAATACTGCCCTGGACTCCCCACCAACAAAGCGCATGACTTAGCTGACCGCATTGTCCCAGAACATTCAGGCATTCAGTCGCGTTTGCATACGCGAAAACTTTGCTAACAGAAGGACAGCCCAGGTATGTCCAACGTCACCCGTAAAAGAAAGTACACTTAGGTCACGCATAGGTCCATCCGGTCGGACATATGTACGCGCCAGCCTTCAGCAAACTATCATGCGTCATTCGTGCATCAAGCATGCGGCGCATTTGCCTGCGTTCTGATGGTGAACAAGCATCCTGCACGAGAAATTGCGCATCCAACTTATGTGAAAACTGTGCCCTCTGATGAAGTCTGGTCGTGTGGGATGTGTGTGTGGTGTGCGTAGGTGGATGGCCTCACGCCATGTCAACCACACCATGCCCAATCTCATCATCAGTTGGTCGACGGACGGGCAGAGGCCGTTGATGTGCGGGAGCGGGGGGGGGGAGTGATAGCACTTTCCTGAGGCATCCTACCTCGTGGCAAATCCTCAAATTCCTCACTAAAGCACAGTCGAGGCTCTTGAGCATATCGGAAGTCACTAACAGCCCCATGGGTCAGATTGTAGAGAACTGGCGGAAGAATTCGGCTTACCTTTGGAATTAAAGTCAGACTGCAATGGATCTTGCTAAGCTTGTCCTTACTACTTCACTCGCTTTTGTGGACTTGACGCATTCTCTCGAGATGCGGCTCGGAATTTTGAAGCTTTTGCACCAGTTCGATGAAATCACCGGATTCCGATCCAATCCTATTGTTAATGGTTCTGGAGGTAGCATATCTGGTTTCTGCCATCGCATCAGAACTTGTTGTCAGCTGTCCTTCATCTCTAAGCATCTAACACATCTTGTGTAGTTTGGTGTGCGAGAAGGCTCGAGGATAACTAGCAACTCGGTGACGACTTCGCCTCCTTTCCATTAAACCTCTGTACTGTCATTCTTTCTGTGTCATTATTTTTTTTTATACATGTCCTTCCTTTGATCTCTAGGGGCATTGTCACGCGCGACACCTTCTGGGACAGGTATGTGTTAAAACCCATTCAAGACCGAATGGGTGGTCGTCTGCGCTTTTTCGCCTGTGGAAGTGCCCCCATTTCTGAGGATGTCTACCAGTTCTGTCGAGCTGCCCTCGGGGTTCACGTAAGTCATCTTCTGTCTCTTTTTGCTTTGCAATATGCTGTTTCTGGGGTCTATGTAGTGCACAGGACTGGTGGTAGTCAGTTTGATTGTTTGGCGACAGTGCCATCTGCGTTGCTGGGCTTGGAAGGTTGTCGACTGATAGGGTGGTGGGTCAGTCCATCAGTCCACACCTCACATCACCTTGATCACTGGGTCGTCAAAATGGTCTTGCCTCCTAACGTGTATTTTGCCCAGCCGCTGCCACTGACACTAGTGAATGTAAATCCACACTGTCTTTTCCTTAACCAGAAGGCTGAAGGAGGCGTTGATCAGAAGACGACTGTGTTCCGTACCGGCCTGTAGGAATAGAACGTTACTGCTGTTATAGCCTCTGATGTCATGGCGGCTTTTCGCTCCCGCCCAGTTTTTGTTGTCTGTGTCAACGCGGGCGTTGAAGTCGCCAGCGACAGTCAATTTATCCGCATTTGACACAGTCCCTACAAGAGCATGCAGGTCTTCATATAATTTTTTCTTCACTTCGTCGGAGTTGGTCATTGGGGGGAGGGGAGGGTGAATTTTTGGACGGTGGTAAATTTATCCCCATGGTGAGGTAAGCGTGGGGTCATGGGACGATCGGTGATTGCCTGCGGCAGGCAGGACAGGCGCCATCCCTGGTTGCAAGGACGACCCCAACATTTGATCGCTTTGCATTTGGACACCCGGCCCAGAAGGCTCTGTTGACACCCACCTCCACTTGTCCCTGTTCGGATCAGCGGACCCCGCTGAGCCGCGATATCTACCAGTTGCCGAGTGGCTATACTTGCCATCCTTTCCTAATGGATGACAATCGGGTTATGGATAAGGGGAACGAGCATTCCAAGCGGCCAGATTGAGCAGGGTCACTCTGCCAGACTGTGGGGAAGCACAAGCATACGGACGGTAGTGTGTGCTTCCTATTGTGTCTCGGTCGTATTTTCTGCGCCTACCAGCCATTGTCAGCTGTCAGACAGTGTGATTGTTGGGCATTTGCGTATGTGACCTTTCCTAGCCCTTCTCCATGCGCGAGGGTAGGTAGTGCTATCCTCAAATGGGGCTGCTTAGTCATCCTAAATGTATGCCGAGTTTCATTATGGGTCACGATTCTAGTTTGGTGGGAAAGCAACCCGAAGTAAACGGTGTCCTCTGTGGGATTGATGTCGCTCGCACCATGGGACTTTTGCTGTTGGAGAAAGGAGTGGTCTATAAGACAGTTTACAAATTTTGGAGCTTTTGACATCTGGTCTTTTCTTAGAGCACGCGGTATAGTCCAGACTGTGTGCAGTTCATCGTCTCGTCCTTCGCATACAGCCCTATGCAAACGTGGCCAGGGGTCTTTAACCGCTGAATTGTCTGTCTGAGCTCTTCGCCACCCAGACACGGTGGGCCAGTTATTAGGGGACGAAACCGTCCTTAAAGCTGAATTGGTGTTTCCAAGCTGCTGTTCCAGACCTGCCTGACTTCTTTAACCATTAGTCTACACTTCGCTCACTTTATTGGCGTTTCCGTTAAGTTGTCAAGTTCTTCCCACTTGACTCCACCTTTTCTCACTTTCAGGCCTATGAAGCTTACGGACTGACAGAGACCTGTGGCGCCACGATCATGACTCTGCCCGGAGATTACGTCTGCGGTCACGTCGGCGCACCCCTTCCCTGCTCCAAGATCAAGTTGGTCGATGTACCTGACATGGATCTCTTCGTCGATCGTGACCAAGTTGGCGAGGTGATTAGCCTTTTCCCTTCTTTTGTACACAAGCCTCCTATTGGGCATCGGCACACCGGACTTCGTCATACTTTCGCTTTTATATCATGACAGCTTCTCAGTAGTGAGCACGATTGTTGGTCGAGTACAGTAATATAGGAGAAGAGGAAATATGAGGCAGTCACACAAACGGTGGTTGCGTAGACCCATGGACGATCCCGAAGACTTAGCTTTGATAAGTTTCGTTGAGCCTGCTTTCTTGCACGGAAGACGCCACCTCACTCCAAGTAGGAGCAGCTTTAATCGATCCGACTGGCTTGCAAAACTCAACACGTACGTTTCGTTTGGTCCCTAGTCTCCGGACCAACACCTTTATAAGCGGTCGCACATCAGCGACTGACCAACCATGCGGAAACACGACCGAAAAAGACAAGTGAGACTGGGATGGCCATGTGTACCTTATTTGCCCTCGCCAGCCAGCTAGCCTTAGAACAGCCACAAGCCTCTCTGTTTACAACTGACACAGGCGTCCTACTTATTTAGCAACAGGCCCACTTTCTGTCAGCCGTAATCAGACATATCCGAGGTTAGCTCAGGGACTAATTGGATTCGGGGCGACACATAAGCCAAAAATGGCCACCACAGCCTCCCCTGTCTTTGTTGGTATTGCCTCTCATCTACTGGGCCTGCGTCTCTGCGTGGGCCCTAGACCGCGGTTTCGAGACAAAGCGAAATGCCCCCGTACTCCATCTGCCAATGAGGCCAGATCAGTAAGAACAGCACTCCTACATGATTTCAAATTTACAATTTGTGCGTCAGGTCTGTGCTGTCGCCGCCTCTAAACGCGGCTTTCCGAGACGCAGGGACACCTACCAAACACCCGCACCCATCGTTCACCTCGTGTTACCACTTAATTGTTCTCACCAAAGTGATCAACCGACTTCTCTCTGTACGCCTCCAGTTTCTGTTTTTTTTTTAGATTTGTGTTAAGGGCAACAATGTCACTGCGGGTTACTATAAAGACCCAGAGCGAACTCGCGAGGTTATCGATGAGGACGGATGGCTACACACCGGTGACATTGGACGCTGGACAGAGGTTGGTGCTAATTTGGCAGACGTCCTATCATGAACGTCAGATGTAGCACTCCTTGCTCCGATCCTAACTTGACTTCCCTCCCTTGCCCTCTCCACAGCGTGGTTGCCTTCAAATCGCCGACCGTTGCAAAAACATGTTCAAACTAGCCCAGGGTGAGTATGTTTCCCCCGAGAAAGTCGAAATGATCTACGGGCAAAGTGGCCTTGTCAATCAGGTCTTTGTGGACGGTAACAGCCAACAGGCCTTCGCCATCGCCATCGTCGTGCCCCAGTTCGACGCCCTAAGGGCGGCCTTGACGACCCGCAAAAATTCTCTCGGCCTGCTCAACGGCTCAGCTAAGAATTCGACTTCTGATGCAGCTGAATCAAAGGCCTCCTCACTGTCGGAGAAGGAGATCTGTGAGATGCGAGAGGCCAGACTGGTTGTCCTCAACGACCTCATTCGGCGCGGCAAAGAAGCGGGACTCAAGGGCTTTGAACAGGTACGTAACTTTTCTGTGTTTATACTACGTAGGATACCTGCGGTCAGGTAAAAACAAAACATTAGCCAAACCTCGACTAATGCTATTTCCAAATTGAACCACGGCTACCGCCGTGGCCCAAGTTCTGGGTCTTTTGGTCAAAAATTTGGTTACTGCTGAATGGCGACTACAAATTCACCAGACGTGTCCATCCTAGTTGGCGTGTACTTGTTATTGCGCCTCCCCCAAAGCCAAACTTCTGTTACCATCCGGACCATCATCCAGATCAGCAATTGAGAGCACTTGATGAACGAGCTCAGATATTTTCGTTTTCGAAGGTCACAATGCCGCCCTCTTCTGCCTCTGTGTGAATCAAATTGAGTACTTTAGGAGCTTTTCGATGACCTCGTCAAGGCGTGTTTGCCTAAATATTCAAAGAAAATCCAAATGTTTCCTTTGCATGCGTGAAGTACTTAGTATGGACTGGATGGGCCGTAAGCCTGTGCACGTCGACTTTAGTGTTTGTTCTTATAACCATTATCGCTGGGTAGCACATTATCTGCGTTTCGGCGAATTGGGCGATTATTCCTACCGTTACTTTTTTCTGAGCCTTTGGGATAAATAAACTAGTACTTTTCATATAAGAATGTCTTGGCCAGTAAACATTTCATAGCCGCTGTAATTGCTGGATCGTTGAAATCGGTCGAATATTTGTGTTTCCTACCTGCCCGACTGGATTCTGGTAGCTTTTCCCACCTCGCTTCAGCGCTTAGTTCCCTCATAATACATCTGACATGCGCTGGAACTGTTACAATGTGTAAACGATCTTATCTTGCAAGGCTGCTGACTGGAATTACAATTCGGCATCCCGCCGTACTGTCGGTCAGGCCACACGTTGGCCCCTTAATGTTCCCCCCAACCCCGCTTTTCACCCCTGTAGGATCCGTCTGCTTGATGTAAGGCGAATTACTACAACCCCCTGTCGCACGCGTAGTCGGGGCATTGTTACGTCGGAGACTGCATCCAGTCTCATACACGGTTGAAGTAAGGACGAGTGAGGCAGACCATGTGGATAGTCTAACCGCCTGTGCGCTGCCTGTACTGGAGTGCGTTAAATCTCGCGACTCGTAGAGGTCGGGATTTTTAGGACCGACAGCAGACAACACAACTCAATTCTCGGAATTAAAATAGCTCTCTTTTAACTTGACATTTATGGCCTCTCTTACGCTTGTTCCCATTTGATGCGTTTCCGCTCATGTGTATCTAAATTCATATGTTTGTTTGATGCGAGCAGGCCTTGGTTTTGCCAGGTCGCCTCCACTTTGCCTTACCATTGGAGCATTTTCGGTGGGTAGAGAGAACGAGATAGATGCCGCTAAGGTCTCCTCCGCCATCATTTAGCTTTCGCGCAAGTCCCAGCGGAGTTCTCGGGACAGTAATGATTCTCCTTAATAATATGACCAGTATCTTGAGTCCTTTGTTTGTTGTCGTCCGCGACAACTGCTTTCCGACTTTTGCCCGATTGGTTGCAAATCTTCACCTTTATAGCGACCAAGTTTTATTGTTAAGCTACATCTATGGGACAGCAAAAACTGCTCCTTTTTATCATCAAAATCAAAAAACTTGGGAGCCTAGCCACATGCCAGACCAATGCATGCCTCATGAGCTAGACCATCCTTAGATAATTTCAAACGAGTTTTGGAAGGTAGCTTTATGCCACGACTGACAGCTCGGTGGCCATGGTAAAGTTCAGACCCAGTAGAGATACGGTAAGGCTTTAGTACATCCAGTATTGCCAGCTGATCTGCGAGGCCCAAACTGAGAGCCTTACGTTTTTTTCAGATTGGTTGATTGCTTGAGTATTTAGCCCACGGTATAAAACTGGTGGATCTCATACGTCACGATAGGTTGGACGGGTGACCTAGGCTGAGTGTTTAGAAATCCTGTACCCCTAAAACGGCCCGCGCGGTAAATGCGCTGGACCAACGCAGGAGCTACACCGGAGTCTGACAGGCGTTATCTGGAATGCGCACCCATAGCAAATGCCAACACTTATGTGTGTGGTGGCAGGTCCAGTTGCAGTCTCACGCCGCGCCAATTGGGATCCGTACCGCCTCGCTAGTTTTTGTTGTGTTATGGGAAATCCTGGTCAGCTTACGTTGTGCATCGAGGGGAGGTGTGACGATAAGCCTAGCTGCGGGTTTTCACTGTGCCCAGCAACCTGCGCCCTCTCGCGCTCCCGGTCTTCTTGAGTCTGTCTCGACACCGGGTCCAGGTGGAGGAGGTGAGAGTGCAGTAGGTGCCGCGAAAGTGTGCTATCACGATAAAAGAAATCACACGCATGCCGCCACCGTCCCTGTCCTCACCCTGCTGTGGAGCACATGGTAATCATCGTCGGCCACGATGGTTGAACTATCGTGAAGAAACCCAAGACTCGGTCAGGATCTCATAGCTCAGTGGCTAGAACACAGGACTGTACTAGCGCCTTACCATCCCTATCGCAGATTCAAATCCTGCCGAGGCAAGCGAGTTTCCCATGGCTAAGCAATCCGCTAAATCATTTAGGTCCACTAAAATGACTAAGAGATCCTACAAAATGCTGTACTATTTTCTTTTCTTAAACTTCAGTATCTTTCCACTTTTCAGGCCAAGTCAGTCTGCCTCGTATCTGATGAGTTTACAGTCGAGTCAGGCCTCCTAACCCCAACCCATAAAAAGTGTCGAGTCGTGTTCCGTCGCCTCTTCAAGGAACAAATTAACCAGCTTTACAGCGGAGGCATGCTGGTATAGTAGACCACGGGAGCCGTTTCCTCTTCTCCCGTCGTTGCCTTACGTTCGCTTTGGCAGGACAGACTGTTCCCACCTGCTCCTAATTCCCCGCTGTCAGATCACAGTTCAGCTGGATGAATGCATTTCCACACCCCTTCCCCTCATAGCGGACTTCCTCCCCCCTTCTACCAACACGCGCCCTCCGTACACCGCTCTGAGAGGCATACGTCCAGAGAACCACATACGAGGAAGTTATCGCTCACTCGTATGCTGTTGTACAAGTTGGTTTTTTGCCTTTTCATCCCCCTTCCCCCCCCCCCCCCCCCCTCCAAGCATTGCCAATGATGGCTTCCCTGTTTCGCTACTCTCGCGCACCATTCGACATCGTTCTTGTTCACTTCCTCTGTGTGTGTGCGTGCGCGCACCTTCGTGGTCACTTGCTCAACAAATTTCATGTTTGTTTGATTTCTCTCCCACCCTCCCGACCCCCCTCTGTTTTCTTTTGCACAAGTTCATCCTTTTCTGTCTATGTGTAACAATATTTATGGCCAATTATCTTCTGACGCCCGTAATTATCCATTCTCATTCGGGAGTGGTTACCGTTGCTGAGGCCCGTCTCCTCCCGCTTCGGGGAAGGCTATTCGGATTTATTCTGCTAGCGCTCTAAACTAATTCTAAGCTAGGTGTACTGTAGTCGACGGCACAAAAATCTGTTTCATGCGTCACAGAGTGACACTGGAAAGATTTTCGGGGATGAAATCTCGACAGCGGCAGCCCATCTAGCCTTTTCAGCTCGAGTCATTTCACTTCCGCTGCCCCTCACCGTAGCTCATTTTGGCTATGCTGATGGCTGACGACTCCTGTTGCCGCAAACATGCCGTTAACAATGTGCCAAGATGTCTGCACAACTGTTTCTTCCACTCCTGGCGTCTCGCTTTATTCGCCTGGAACCTTGCCTGCATATACCCCCCTGTTGTGTGATTTTCTAGTCCCTTGCCGAGTACCTCAGCGGCGTGCGCACATTAAGAAACGGAAGACAGATAAGTTCTGGGGAGGGGGGGGGAGTGGTGGTTCGGCGTGTTCATCCAATCCTCAATACGTGCGGTCCAGCGCACTGCCGCAGAGAATGAACAGTGAAGTTGCCAACCTGAGTGTCCTCGATTCACAATCTTGTTGCCTAGTTGCAGACGGCCTTGTAACCCCAGGTAGGCTGTTGATAGACTTGATCGTTAGACCCCAGGTACGCACAACAGTTTCGTCCCTGGCTCGTAATGTGCACTTGCAAAAAAACAAGCCTTTAACTGTTCCATGCATTGTGCAATCCGTTCCCCTGTTGGACATCGGGCATCGTAGTCAGTAATCGTATGCGAGTCATCCCGCTCTAATGGACCAGACGGTTGCGGCAACGGGCGCAGTGGATGCGTGTGGGCCTTTTTCCGGAACTATTATGGCCAGGCTCCTGACTGCGGGTGGCACCGCGCAGGTGTGAAAACTGCCCACTTTAGAAATTACAGATAACCCAGAGTATATTAAAGCCTGTGTAGCTCACTGTGGACCCATACTATTCCCACTGGTGTATTTTGATGCAAATACGGGACATTTGGTGCGCGCACCGTTCTTCCCCGGGATCGGCTCATACCTGAGGTCAGCCCTATCGCGGACGGCCATACAGTTGGCCCACTTTATAACGCGTGGGGAAAACCCCCGAGCTCCAAACTTATCTTGCCCCTGGTGCTATTCGTGACAGGTTTGGGGAACGAAGGTTTAGAATTGACGGCCTGCGAGAGGGACGACCTGTTATGTGCAGTACCGGGCCAGGAAAGAGTTGGGAATCTGTAGTTCTCGGAATAGGGCTGGTCATCTCGGAGGTTTGGCGAGTCTGCTGTTCCTACATCATGGTCTGAGGTCAAAATGCATGTCCCAGCTATTTCCTAGGTCTGCAACTTAACCGCATTCCGGTGGACAAAAAACATTGTGAGGAAGCTAGATAAGCTTTCGCCACTGTCCTGTGAAATCAGGCAAACGTCAATATGCACTTCAGGGGCGGTGAGTGCACCTGCAAACCGGATAGACTGTTCCGAGTAATATTGAAGCGGGCGACTACATTGAGGATGTCACACGCAGTTAGATAAAGCACCCGGGATTGCTCTCCGACTGTGGAAGCGCTGAACTGAGTCGTCAGGCCTAGCGCCAAACACGCATTTACGCATATAATAAGGAAATAGTTCGAAACGTACACAATCTGTGTTGAGAGATTAATAGATCGGATAATAAATATGGGATATAGCTGTACTGGGGTGGATAGCGTTGCACACACAGCTGGTCCGCCTGGAGTAGAAGTTGGTCCTGGCATGTCTGTCAGATTACCGACGGGGAATGCAGTGCGGGGGGCAACTTCAGGGGAAGGCCATGGAGTTGTTGACGTTGAATGAGAGAGGCGAGAGTTGTCGCGAGTGCCGACGGGGGGGAGTCGTCGGTCATCCTCACCGGCGCGTGGTCACCAATCCCATCCTGGATGCTCGCGGAAGTGACTTCAGTCCACGTAAACAACTCAGTCAGCCTTGGGGGTGCGTTACAATATGACCCAAGAACTCACCAATAGATGGGTCGCACTTTTCAGACTATTCGCGTCAATTCACCCCGTCCGAATTTAACGGTTGGTTGTGGGTGTACGGAAGAATATGCTTCACCACACTTCCCGCGCAAGCACCATAGATAATCCCTAACACGTTTCGCCAGGCCTGGTTTGTTTTGACTTGATCTGGCAAGTCTAATTACAAAAAGCTATCCGTATATTTGTCTATATATCTAAGACAAAGGTTTTCAAGCTCGCTGGGCCCTGTCGTTTGCCTGTCGTTGGTTAGGAACAGGACTGTGCCGCCCGACGGTGAATTCGCAACGCGCAAACGGAAGACGGAAGGTAGATATGCCGGCTGATGGAGTCGATATTAGAGGTTTCAGTCCCGAGTACTTTTCAATCTGTCTTGTAAACGGTCCACGCCATTACCCGTTTGCCTGCGCAATTAGATTCGTTGATCAGGATGGAAGTCACAACTAGGGGTAACATTCCACCTTTTCGAAATGCCAGCTTGTCTTCTTATATCTGTTGTAATACTCGAGCCACCCAAGGGTATGGTCTTGTCTTCTTCTCCTTCTAGGCTACAGTCCGTACTGGCTTCCTTGGTGTTCTTATCCGAATGAGTGCCTCCTCGGCGGGAACCCTGGGAATTAGAGTGAATTGAGTCCATCGTCTGCAAGGGCAAACATGCACGGATAGAATAGGTCGACGGTGGAAAAAGTTTATTAAAAGAAATATTGCAGCAGAGGAAAATTAATCCCGTTCCGTCTCCTCGTCGTCCTCCCCTTTACGGACGGTCTCTCGACGTGCCCCCTCACGCTCTTCGACGGCGGTCACTAAAACAAAGCACGTTCGGAACTTCAATCAGTCAAAATGTACAGGAAGATCATAGCAAGGACACATTAAAACAGCAGGGTCAGTACGTCCTCTACACTGTGACCCGAATTGTTAGTGGTCCGATCTGCAAGCGGCATGCTGAAAGTAAAGCATGGGTGACTAGAGCCTGAGACTATCCCGACACGTTATGCGTCGAGGATTGGAAGCTTGCTGACTGACGTCCCAACTCAGTCCAAGCAGTCTGTCCAGCTGTGTGTGTTTGTGTGAAGTGGCGGACTCCCGCACGCGATTGGTCTGCGCGGAAATAGTTGAAAGTGTGTTTATGGTAGCTCAGCGTTCATTGGCCGGTGTTGTGTCTTTGAGCGCAAGAAAACGTGAAAGATCACAACATAATCTCTCAGAGGGATGGGACAGGAACGCATCAGCCAGAGAATCGGTGAATTCGACGCCCGTCCCGTCTTATTGCTCACCTCCCAGCTGTAAACGCTGCCTCATACCGTGGATGCATCCCTTGATCGCATTTTAATTAGTCATGACAGCACGGTTTTAGGTCGGATCTCATTTCGCAGCCGTACGTGCATTAGACAAGCCCCAGCCTGACCCCTAACCCCTTACCTCTAGCCCCTAGCCCCAACCCCTAACCCTAATCACTAACCCCAACCTCTAGCCCCTAACCCTCAACTTTGCCCCTCAACCCTGACCCCTAACTCCAACCCCCGACCGTAACCGCTAGCCATTAACCCCTTACCCTAACCCCTACCAGGTAGGGTTACGAAATGAGATCTTGCCCGGTTTTATATTAGATCCAAAACATTCATCCGGTTTCAGGAATAATTCCCTAGTCGCCTACTAACTGTGTGACGGGCCTACTTATAATGCAACTGAGTTGTAGGGACCAAGGAGAACAAAGTGCATGAGTAAAACTCCCTTGGCGCAGATTGAGCGCACAATCACACTCCTTGTCTTGTTTTCGTTCCACATCTTTGTCAGGGGGAGATGGTGGAAGTTTCTGCGTCCTTCTTAAGTTTAAAGTTCGGAGAATTTTTAATTCCCACTGTTTCACCAGGTCAATCCAGGGAATTCGCTCGTCAAGCCGAAAGCCAGGTCCACACGTAGAGGATTCTGATGTGGCCTTTATGTGCTGCTCGAGCCCCTTGTGCCCTCGAATCATTTTAGTAGTCTCCTGTTAGTTTTCGCGAGTTTCCATTTAACTATATTTGTGACGGACCTCTTGAAGTATTGGTGAGATTGAGATATAGCAGAAACAGGCCCGCATCCTGGTACACCGAGAGTTCTTTTCGTAAATGTGTTTGTCAGATGACCGCGTCATGGTTTCGCATACCAGCATCCCGACCTGACCTCTGCGCCAGCATCAAACACCAGGAATCTGAGCTGGTATGCAGCCAGTCTACTATTAGCCGTTGCCGCAAAGCCTACATTTCTGCCGTTTCTGTCGTTCGCTATGACTCTACTTCGTGTAGGCAGCGATAAAAGCCCGGGAAGCTAGCGTCTTATCAGTGGTCTCGATGTTGACTTTTAACCTCGCCTGCGCAGACAACCGGCAGGCGAGGTCTTCCCGAATTTCGGCCCTGTAGTAAGCTTAAAAGGGGCTTCTCTCGCTCTCTAAGCTGACGCCCTCGGAGGAATATATGTTGGCTGCTGCCAGGGCTCGCAAAGTCTCTACCTTATTTGAAGGCATTTTGAAAACCTTGCCAGACAGAAGTGATGCATTTTACAAACTGCTACTTTCGACCATAACTTGAGTTCTCAGAATGGACGCGGACTATGATGGTTGTCCGTGCAGCGTTAGGCGATCACCTTTGTTTGTTAAATTTGTGCTTCCCACCCTCAGAACGCCAGAGGGTGCATAAGTTATCAATACGCAAACAGGGAAGCCCGTCAACAAAACCTGACAGTCTATAAGTCACTAAATGAAGAGGAAGATAAGGAGCCCTTCTACATCTCCGGCTGAGCTACATACACTCACAATGGATGCCCTCATAAAATTGTTAACTCACGCATATATACTCACGTGATCGATAGACAACATCTCACGGCTTCCCTCGAACACTTGGAATAGGTCACCAAGGGAATCAGTTGAGGTGTCTCCAAGAGGTCGTCATTTCAAAGACGTAATGACTCATGATCTGCTGCGGACAGCCGAGGGAAACATAAGTTATCTTTGGACTGATCTGAAAGCCCTAACTTGCCCACAGAAGGGCGTATATCGTTCCTCCACTTTGTATATATAAGTATCTCCTTGCTGATAAAACAGACAGCGTTAAATGAGTGTTTTTGTTTCTCTCATATCGTCTGTCGGTATCCATGACCAAATGAGGCAGAGAGGAAGTGTTTGTTAATCGCCTGCATATTTTCGGTCGTGCAACGTAGCCGTTGTCCATTTTCACGGGGATACAACGTGACCCCGGCTGAAGGCTACAAGCACGGCGACCCCCAAATAATAAATTCGTTCGCAGCGCTTTCCCAGGAGATATGGTGTTGAGGGCAAATTTCACAGGACTTCAAGAACGTGACAGTTATCCATCTCCAAAAACGGAAAGCCAACCTCCAAGCCTGCAACAGTCACAGAGGCATCTCACTACTCAACACTGCCGGGGAGATCTTGTCTCTCATCCTCCTCAGCTGTCTCAACGGTCATTTAGAACAGGGATTTCTCTCGGAAAGCTAGCGTGGCTTCCGACGAAACAGCGGAACCGCTGATATGAATTTTGCCGCTGGCCAGCTACAAGGAAAAGTGTCAGGAAATGCGGACCAACTTCTACACTACCTTCGTAGTTCTGAAAAAGTTTTCCGACACTCTGAATTGCGATGGACTGTGGAAAGTCGTGCAGAAATTCGGCTATCCTGAGCGATTCACACATGTGGTGCGTCAGCTGTATGATGGGATGATGGCGTGCGTCACGGACAAGTGGACCGTCTCAGAGGCATTTGCAGTGATCAACAGAGCGAAGCAGGGCTGCGTACTAGCCCCCCACCCTCTTCAGCCCCATGTTTCTGCCATGCTAATGGACGCCCATTAGGTCGCATGCGCATTCATGGAAGCCTGAAGTAAACCACCGCAGGCATGACCACATCACTACACATCCCCCCATCACACAGAACGTCTCCGACATCCCATACCACTGATATCTCTAACGTCAGTGAGAAGTGTGCTCCTCGACTTCTCCATGTGGCTCCTCTGCAGCATATGAGGGCCGAGCGATCTTCGCTCTTTTGTGTGAACACCTGGTATTATCATACAAGGGGCCAGGTTGCGTGTGTGTGCAAACAGTCTGACGCGCTTGAGACTACCACGGTCTGCTAGCAGTAGTGATTTTGGAGGTCGAAATATACGTATCAACTCAGACTACGCAGTTAGTCCCGCTTTGGGTTTGTGTGTCCAGTAGCTGACTAGTAGACTGAGAGTCAGGCTGCAATGGCTACTTCTTAACGTGACCTCTGCCACTCTCACAGATGTGAAATCCAAATGGCCCACCCCTTTTGTGTGTGTTTAGGGAGGAACAGGTCGTATATGTGGCACGCCCAGATGAGGTCACTACCTAAGTCAGCCACTGCGGCCATTCCCACACCAGAGAACTGACCGGATCGGGCAGTGGCTTCGGCCCGGTAATGGGAATAAAAAGCGAAGTAGATGTCTCAGCGCATCTCTTTCACTATAAACAATTTGACGCGCCTGAAGCTATCAAGGTGCGTTAAAGCCTTAGCTTCGAAGATTGCCAACTGACAGTGTAACCTAAACCTCACAGTGAGCTCAGTGTCTGTTTGTGTGGAGTGGCGGACTGGTGAACTGAGAGTCAGGTTACGATGGCTACTTTCTATTGTGGCCCCTATGGCACTCCCAATCCGTGGAATCCGAGCCGGGTGTGGCGGCGCGCCTAAGGGCAGCTCCGACCGTGCCAGCCTCCTGCGCCCTCACTCACATCCGATCCTCTTAACTATGTCTTGACACAGGGCCCAAGTGGGGGATAAGGAGAGAGTGCTGTAGACGCAGCGCAAGTCTACTATCACTACAAACTAACTCATGCGCGAGTCACCGTCCATGCTCTCACCCTGCTGTGGTGCACACGGCGGACATCGTGTCACCAGTGACTCCGTCCTGTGCATCGGGCAGGTGACTTTTGTTTTCAAATCTCGCCTCTCCCTACCACTCCTTCTTGGTTTATGGAGTACGATCGACCCAGAATTCTTAAAAATCAGACATGGCACAATGGCTAACGCTAGCATTCACCCTGATCTACGCCCGGTACAACGCCATTTCGGCTTGTATATTTCCCGAATGAGACTTTGCACATTGAGGTAATTGGTGGGTGCATTAGCTCCTGCATATGTGCGACTTTCCGTTACTGTTCACTCTAGAAGCTGATACTTTTATGTGGGTTAAAATCATCCCACAGTTGAATAGCCTTTGTTTGTCTTTGTATTCACAGAATTATCTTGCACCGTTATTTTCACAGCTGGCTTTACGCTACGTCGTCCTTCAAACCACAGCCTCGTGTAAACCGTTTTGCAAACTAGCCAAACTGACGCGTATGCGAAAATTATCACACGGATGGTATGGAGGCAAATGGGAATTTTTGTGACACCGGATCTCACGTTGCAGTGGTTGCGCATACCAGACCGACCAACGTCAGTTTACAGTGATGCTTATTCACCTGGACGTCACATTCAGCTGAGCAAAGAATAGTTAATCTGGCCACAAATACTGCTGGATTCTCTGGCAAGTTCTAGTTCTTCGGTCTAACCACTCGAATAGCGTTCGCCTACTTCATCAGTTGGTTAAGTAAACTTGGGAAGTGCGCTCTCTCTACTGTCAAAATAGTCTCTAATATATATATCGCATATAATGGTCTTAGTATCGCCCGTCGTATGGCCTCACACTCTCATGGAGCACCAAAATCGAGTACGGATTCGCACGCGGGATCTCCAACGCCAGCCGGCATTCAGCCGGCTGCAGACCTCCGGCTGGAATCCCCGCAGCCTCCATCTCAACAGTATACCGAAACTGTACAGGGCGGTAGACCTGCCAATGCAAGTGCACAGTACGGAGACATGGATTATCAACGTGAAACAAACACAGAAACTCCGTAACGTTCACTTTATCGATATTAGGAGAATCCTTAATTTGGGATGGCGGGACAGGATCCCAGACACGGAAGTTTCGGAACGGGCTGGAATCGTCAGCGTCCCCAGCACACTGAGGCAACTGTAACTACAATGGAGCGGCCATCACGTGAGGATAGACGGCAAGTGCCTACCCAAAAGTCAAGATCGATATAGGTGCTCTCCAACAGAGAGGAAAGGCACGCCGCTAAAATGAAACCCTGGAGAACTAACTAAAGCACTTTCAAATCAACTCCAAAACCCGGGGGGGCCTCGCCCAGGGCCGACCATTCTAGAGATGGGCCGTGAAAACTGAAGCAGTAATTTATAAAGCCAACCGAATCACCGCTGTTAAAGCCAAAGTTGCAAATCGCACGTCTCAAGCACCTCCGACTCACAACGCCAACATCCAAACATACCAGCATGTCCACGCTGCCGACGAACATTTCGTCGTGGATAGGCCTCTTCGGACATCCTCTGGTCCCATGCAACAAAAACCCAACAAGCCCACCTGCCGCCTCCACAAATATCTCCATCGTCACCTCTGCGCCAACTCCACGGCGTTCACGACGGCGACCATCACCATCGATGGACACACTCCTGATGTCTCAACGCCGTCAACCGCCATCGATCGCCCTCACCCCATTGTCCTTGCCGCGACCTCCGCGACGACGACTTCTACCAAACTACCACCGCCCCACCACCAGCAATGTGGACTAAATTTCAGCCTGTCCTCGTTTCGACCGCGAATTCGCCTCGCCCATCGGCCTATCTGATCACTTGCGGGTCCATCCCACTGCTACCGGCGCACCAGTATCAAGGGCCCTCATATACACTCGCTGCATCCGCTCTCACTGCCCACGCTGTCCAAGCAGACTCATTCATCGCACGCGCCTGCTTGGCGACATGCGCATCCATAAACAACTATGGCAAAACCGCCGGTCAAAAGAAATCGCTACACCTCTTTTCACCAGGACATACATCACACACGAATCCGTCCAACATCATCTACCGCAGGTACTGCATAGTCCCCTCCCACGTAAGTGAGAAGCTCACTCTTTGGCTCCTTCTCTGTGTGGCCCCTGTACCACTTTAACGCATATGAGATCTAAGCTAACCATCCCTGCTGTGTGAAAACCTGGTGTGTTTTCTGGAGGCCGTTTCGTGTGTGACACGCGCAGGCGAGCTGTTTTAGCTCTCTCTCTCTCTCTCCCTCTCTCTCTCTCTCTCTCTCTCTCTCTCTCTCTCTCTCTGCTACTTGCGCCAAATCCTCGCATAGGACGACTGGCTGGTCGGACAGCGGGTCGGTGCACGGGGGAGGGAAGAGCGAGAGAGGGAGATCGACTCTGAGGCCTTTATTTGCATGGTACTTAGCTCACATTCCTCGTTATAAACAATCAGGCGTGCTTAACTCTATCATGGTGCACTAAAAGCCGTGGCTCGGAAGACTGCCAACCGACGGGATAACTAGACTCTCCCCTCAGGACGGAGAGTCGGAGCTCAATGGCTCTCTATGAATGCGGCCTCTATGGCACTCCCATTCAGTTGGGATCAGAGCCGCCCCCCCCCCTTATCGTTTCTGTGGAAACCCCGTAATTTTTGAGCGGACCAGGCGTGTGTGGCACGTGAAGGTGCCGCCTCCAGTCCTCTTGACTCTGCCTTGACACCGGGCTGAAGGGAGTGAGGGAGGAAAAAGTGCAGTAGATGCTGCAAAAGACTATTACCACTGCAAACTGAATCACGCGCAAGTCAGCGTCCCTTCGTCCGCCGTGCTGTGGGGCACACGGTGGACATCGTCGTTCGCCAGCGTCGAACTGTCACACAGTTATGTTCGCACATTTATACCTACACCGTGGCTGCAGCTGTCATAACATAAAATCACGCTGTTCTGACTCAGAAAACTAATGAATTTTCCACGTGTGGCTTTCTGCCAAGACCTTCAAACTTTAAGTTGTGGCCATTTCGGAATTTTGGCCGTTGTCAGCTGGTGATAGGCCGAACCTAAGGGTTGACGCGCACTAAGCCTGGACCCTATTGTTGATTGCTGTTCGCCACGCGACGCTCTGTATCTATTCTGAATCCGAAGTCTCAAGGCGAGGCAGAGATGCCCTAACCTTAACCGTAACCCCACCCTACCCTAATCCCAACCCTAACACAAAACGTAAACCAAAACCGCAATCCAAATCCTAACTCTAACCAGAACCCTTGAACTTAACACAAACCCCAACACTAAACTCAATTCTCAGCCTGACACTAACCCATACTCTAAAACTAACTCTAACTCTAGACAGAAACATCGGGTTGCCGTTTTTCCGTCTTAGCTTTGGCTACATTCCCAATAAAGATTCCAGCATCCTCCTTCGGCTTACTTTAATTGCAATGCCAACATTGTGGGACCAGGAGAGCGTAGCCGACTCCTACCGCTTGGGGCTACATTCAAGTAAGAAAAAAATAAACAGTTTGGTTGCTAATGTCAGGGCATTCGCTCATCATGCCTCTCCATGCAAGTGAGTAGTATGGAAGATGCACTCGAAATGATTTCCGAAGTGAAGACCGTGGTGACAGCGCCGCAAGTAAGATCAGGACATGATCCGACTGTACGCTTCTTCATGCGAGGTGCACCGCCTCTTCCATATAGGTTAATCAGGTCGCACCCGACCTCCGTACATCTCCACACGTTGTCATCTCGAAGGAGAAAGAAAAATGGTGGAAAATGAGCATAATACCCTACATGGGGTGGACCGTTCCAACGTTCTGAGATTGGCCTATTGGGAGAACTGATAATAAAGCATAAATAACCTTTTCATCACACGCATCAAGAACCTCTCCGTATTTGTTATAATTCGAAGGATTTTTTCCGTGCCATCTTGGAAAGCATTGTACTAATGTAATCAACCTTCGGAAACTGACTCAGACCAATCTTCAACTAATCAAGCTGGCTGGAGTCACAGTTATCCGGATGCGATGTCTCCTACAGCTCCCTGTGCTGCAGAGCACTTTTCTAAATCCCGAACTGCCGACAGCAAAAATGATTTGAAGTATAACGTGAGATGATTGACGGACGTCCTCCTTTCTTTTTACCGCTTGCCTCAGGCAGATACATAGGCAAACCGGCTTTTCGGTAAACCATACTGTGGACTTTATAAATCTTCTAATCGGTGTGAAGTGATCATACCGCATCATAGAAAAGTGCTCAAAGAATCTTGGAAATATTGTAATGTATTTCGAGTCGGAGTATCAGCGTACTTCCCCCACTTCGAGTTTTGCTTAAATCCTGGGCCATAATTGTGTTCCTTGTATCATATTGTGTTCCAACTCGCGATTAAATACACCAGGATTCCTTACTGAACACTGGATCCCCTTTCGCTCCACTTCGGTAGTCAACAGTCTTGTCTCCGACGTTGTCTCAACCATATTTTTAGGGGCAATTTAGAGTCAACTGAGCTTTGAATGATACATCACCACTACTCAACTGCGCAGAACAACTCGCTCTACGGTGTCAGTCTTCTCTTCGATTAGCGATACTAAAACCCTTTCAGATTGAGAACGGGAACATGTTCACTCTGTACTGCAAGCAGCCCTGCGCTAAATTGCAGGGGGCGGGATACCCATTCCCCTGTGCTAACATTAACCCCAGCCCTAATCACCCTGGTATCTAGCGCAATTTCACCTGTAATAGGGGGAAAGGGGGGAGGGGGAGATACTTGTTCCCGTGCCCTAACCCCTATCGAACTTAAAAGGTCTCATACGGCAGATTTTCCCCCACACTGGCACATTGCAGACACCCCACCTCCCTATGATTGTTAGAGGTGTAGATATTGTCTCTGTTGGATTTTGGACACTTTTACATGGATCTCCAAAACCAGACTTTTTGTAACGTGAAAAATAACACGATAACATGGTGGTCGACTCAGATCCCTTCAGTTCTCACTTAAGCTCTAAAACGCCTTGCAAACCAACAATTCGCGTGTTTAAGTATAAGTGAGTCAGACTTAAGGCCAATATTTCTGAGCTGTTGGATCTAACATCAGGCCGATAAAATGTTCTGATCTTCACATGACCAAGTTGTGAAGTAAACTGCCAAGCCAGTAAGGCCTATCCAGCACTTAGTTTCTCACTATAAACCACCAAAGGCAAATTTAAACTATCACGGCAGGCCGAGTCGTGGGCTGGAGGGTTGTAAAGTGACGGGACAACTGGTTCCTATTCCTGACTGATGCTCGGACTGCAATGGTCCATTTTTAATGTGGCTTTTATGGCACTCTCAGCTGCAAGAGATGTGAGAACACTTCAACCAGACCCCGTACGTGCAGAGTTAGGGATCGGGTTGTGTGTTTCAGGCGTTTAGCCATTGCACTCACACCCACCTTTGTCTTTGCTTTGTCATCAGAACGTGATAGGTGTGGAAGAAGGGAGTAGGGCAGGTGAAGCGTAAAGCTGAATAAGGCACAGGAATATGGGCCTCTCCCCATCTTACAGGCTGTCTTGAGCTAAATTCTGGAATCTGGCGCGAGGTCACCTGGCGTATGGGGGTCCCTGTTACCGCGGTCAGCCCAAAGCTGCCTCACCATAAATCGTACCTACGTCGTGAGGCAGTGGTCTCTCTCATCGCATGCGACAGCCAAACTACAGTGCATGTGTTCACGAACTGCTAACAGTCTTGATCCAGCACCGGAATTTAGTTTCTAAGTCAGCTAATGAAGCTCATCGGTGTAGTCTGGTCTCAAGGAAAGAACTATGAGCCATTCCTTTTCGTTTTGGAGCTTCCGTGTAAGGCTTTCTCTCCACCCCGCCCACCGCAGGCGATCGCAAAGCTTCGAACAAACAATGGTCGAGAAGTATCATCAGCAGAAACTTTGAAGGAGGGGGTTGGAGCGACTCTTTAGCATTGTCAGTACACATTCGTAGTTTTTTTATACCTAAGAACTTCGGCTTTTCTCTTGTGCATACTATCGCTTTGAGCTGCCTTTTGGCTTATTCGCCTTTTCCAGCTACGATGCTCTACGGGCTTAGCCTGAGGGGAGTTTTGTCTGAGAAAGTGACAGCTTTTTAAACTGAGATTAAAAATGCAAGTTATAGTGACCAAAGTGATTAATTGCCTTTTTAATGATGAATAGCAAAATAACGAAAATTTCGCCTAGACAAACCATCATTTCAAGTAATTGCCGATAATGCATTAGGTAATGCATTTGACAAGGTGTGAAAAAACTCCATGGGTATTTACTCCGATAGTCATGCGGAAATTCCCCGTACTAAACACACGAAGGATTGCAGCTACTTCCGATATCCTCTCATGAGTTTTCGATGCTGGCCAAATGCATGCACGTTTACATATCTGACACTGCCATCCGTGGTGACCGATCTGAAATGAGTTCCGCGGTAACGCGCTGATTTTGGCTAGCGTGGCGTTATGTTCAGAGGAAGTGCAACGCTAGTAAATAAATAATTGAAGTTTTGTTACGAACTCTCGAGAATGGCGCTTGAAACTCGTTTCGGGCTGCAATTTAAACCACCCACAGTAAGCGGCAGCAAATTTGGCACAGCGTGAACGCTAATGAAACTCGCTGTTTTTTTTCAGCCCAGGGATTGGTGCGGTTCTCGGCGTTCCACTCCCCATTTGACAGAACACTGGAATAGGCAATTCCCCGTGGCTTTGCGCCGAATTCCAGGGAGATTGGGTTTAGAGGTACGTTCAGGGTTAAGTTTTCGGTCAATGTGCTGTTAGGGTTAGGTTTGGGGTCAGGATTAGTGGCAGGATGGGGTTTAGGGCACGGGAATAGGTACCCTCCCCAGGATTCAGCGCACGCCACCGATGTTACATAGCGGGGATCCAACTTCAGTGTCTTACCGGCCGTTTACCGACAGAAAAAAATTTTGGTAAGATCTTATTTCGTAGCCTTACCTGTTAGGGGTTAGAGTCAGGGCTTGCCTACTGCAGTTACGGCTACGAAATAAGATCCAACCAAACTTTTAATGAGTTAAACTACCCAGAGCAGGGAATTAAAAACGGCATTTTAGGGGGTAGAATGGAAACATGCTCAAAGTATATTTATTAAGTAAATTCGAAAGAAATAAGCTATTTAGGAAAGATAAACAAGTTTTATTTTAAATTTTCGATCTTGGTTTCCCAATTCGTCTTCAGACGTGAAGTAAGTGTGCAAAACAGTCAACATTTAAGCATGCCGGGAAATCGATTTTGCCTTGTCACGCCTGCTGGTGTAATGTTCTGATCGACTAATGCCTTTTCCACTTTTCCTTGAGGCTGTTGTACACCGTATCCAATTCTACGTGTCGATTGATGCATGCGTTATCAGAATGGATGGCCTCTAAAAATTCACGGCCCTTTTTAGATGAGCAGACACCTACAATGCAAGTCCCGTCCCAGGCGAAGTTGTGTCCAGTTTCTAACGTATGTATGGCAACTGGGGACAAGTGGTCTCGTCTTTTTACGGCCAACTGCTGTTCATGTATTCGTGTAGAGGCCGATTTCCCAGTTTGACCACAGTAAACTGCATTACAGGTGTTGCATGGTATCTTATAGACGACTTCCTTCTTATCTAAATAGCCAATCCTATCCTTAGGGTGTACAAGCTGGTTAAGAAGTGGAGTCGTCGGCTTGTGCGCCACATGTATTTGGTGCTTTCTCAGGTGTCTTTCGACTAGTTCGGACTCATTCTTAATGTACGGAAGTGTTCGCCAGTTATTTGGTTTGGGCGCCTGGTCGGAACAATCTAGTTCCTTCTCGTTTTTTTTAAACTTTTGTCGTCGCATGCATCGGTGTACAAAATATCAAGGATATCCATTCTGGGAAAACAGTTTGAACAAATAATTCAGTTCTGTTTGATATGTTTCGTTGTCAGAGCAGTGAGTTCTTGCTCGGTTAAGGAGGCTGTTCACGGCACTCCGTTTGTGTGAGATCGGGTGATTGCCCTCGTAATTCAAAAGAACTTCCGCGTAGGTTTCTGCGGTAAACCGAAGTGTGAAATGTCCCGTCAGGCTTTCTCTGTACGAGGACATCAAGAAACGGGAGTTTGCTGTCAGCCTCTTTCTCGAGTGTAAACGTGATTCCTGGAGGTGTTGAGTTAATAATATTGTGGAGTAACTTTAGGAACAGAGTGCAACAACTGGCATATAAAAAGCCTTGTGAAGCGCCAACAAGTATTACATCTCCCAGTTCAAGCCAAAAAGGCTTACCAAAAAATATGCTATTTTCGGAAAAATTTGGTTGACTAGTAATTTTAAGCGTAATTTTGCAACTGCAAAGTCCAGTATACAGCAACTTTCGGCTAAGTTTGAATAGAGCCTCCAGGGCAACAGTGCAATCAAGCTTTCGTTCTCAATACAAAGAAGACCATGAGGCCATGCTGCATTGTTTATTTACTTCAGCGGTTGGTGAGTTTTGAGTCTGCGCCTTGATTTCATGCAAACCCTTAGGAAAACGACTCATTAAATTGTCAGGTGCATGGCTACGCACAGTGTTCAGTTTTGACATGCTTAAGCAAATTCTAATTTCTTTCCAACTGTCTAGTCCTCTTTCGTTAAAAAGGCCTAGAACGTTTACGAGGAACAGCCAAACGGGGATGCTTTTTACATTAAGGAGGTTTTTGTTGTAGCCCACAAATTGGCTTCTGGGAAAAGAACAGGCCTTTACGAGGCGACTGGTTATATTGAAGTCATCTGCAATTTCCCGCCCAAAGGAAAGAGCTCTTGTTTTTTATTCAATGACCAAAAAACTCAGAAATGTTTGCGATACAGGGATGGGAATATTTCTATTTCACCCTATGTCTGTGTTGAAAAGCGAGTTGTTGCTGTGTGTAGGGGCCTTAAATAGTAGATGCAAACACCAGAGGGTTGCCCTTAAATTGCTTTTGCTGCAAACCTTTTTTTTTCATCAAAGTTCGGTGGGGCAGAGCAAACACCACTGTGAGCGGTTGAGACTAACTTTGGCCCTTAGCACTTTCTAAGAAAAACAGTGCGCTTGCTCTCAAATATACTTATTCTGGATGCGTAAAAATACTCTGAAAGCAACTCTGGGGTGTGGCTTCATTGGTAAATGGTAACCGCCTCCGCTCTTTACCTAATTACCACTGCTGCGTGTTCTGCGCGCTATTAGTCTTAATTTTAGATGTCGCTCGCGGGCTTTTTAAAGCTACTCTTGAGTACAGAGCTCCTTAGGATGTCATACCGTTTTTTTCTGAAATGACAAAACCATATACGACTGAGGGCACACAATTAGGAGCAGCTTTCTGAAAGCACAGTTTTCACAGGGGGAACGTCCTTCATAAAGACGAGGAGATTTCACATTCAAATTCAGTGGTCGGAAAAGACTGCTCGTTTAATGCCAAAAGACAGGGTCTTCGGCCCGTAAAACGAGAACGGTTGACTAGCTCAGTAGAAATCAAAGTTCCAGTAGGAGTTTCTTAAAATCCGCAAGAGGTCCCGTTTACAAACCGTGTAGTTGCGCGATATTTTTACGCCGTTTGCTTATCCTTAAAAAACAGAAAAGGAGGACTGCTGACGAGATCTAAGGGGAGAAACAGAAGGAGGGAGACGATGATGGTAACCCTAGTGATAGTGGTGGTGTGCCCTTCAAAAGGGCCATTCGGTAGATGCGTTGGACCAACACAGGGAGCTAGATGGGTGCCCGTCAGGCGTTATCGGGAATGCGTATCCACAACAAATGCCAGTATTCGGAGGGTGGCGGCAGGCCCAATTTCAGGTCCATGCCGCGCCAGTTGGGATATGGGCCCCCTTCTTTAGTGGTTCTATAAAATCCTGGTCGGTGTTCCTCGTGGGCCAGGGGTGTAGATATACGCCCAGGTGTGGGTTTTAACTGTGCCAGCCACCTGCACCCTCTCCTGCCTCCGGTCATCTCGACTTTTTCATGACAGTGGGCCTGAATGGGGGGGGAGGAGGAGAGAGTGCGGTAGACGCAACACAAGTCTATAATCACTATAGAAGAAATCGTACGCATGTCACCGTCACTGTTCTCATTCTGTTGTGGAGCACATTGTGAACGTCGTCAGTCATGACGGTCGAACTGTCGATGGTGGTGGTGGTGGTGGTGGTGGTGGCGGCGGCGGCGGCGGCGACGACGACGACGACGACGACGACGACGACGACGACGACGGTGTTTTTGTTGGGACCGATAGAAAAGAAGAAGAATAAGGTTAGCGCAACGGAAGTTATTTGACGTCCCTTTCTAAATCGTATTCGAGTTCGCCATCACAAAGGGAAAATTTGCTCAGCCGGTTGGTCAATTAATCTATCTATCGTCTGAACCCCCACTCTCAAGCGAAGGCTTCGTTCAGGTGCCTGAACGGGCTTTTGACTACTATACCCAACGAAACCGTCTGCAAAGCGCGTGGCAGCGAAGTCAACGCTGTGATTGGCATTCGTCGCATGACAAGCTACTTGCGCTTGCTTTTTTCTAGTACCCCAATGCAGATTTGCGGTTCTGTGTTCTTGTTTACGGTTTGTAGACTGTCTGGTCCCTGTAACGACAGCGCAATGGACAACGGTGAACTGCCTGCCGCGGCATAATTTATCTTTTCGCCCAGGGGCGGCAACAGTTTGTGACGTCGTGGGGACAGATCCTGCATTTGCCCAGGCCACACGCGACGTACTCAGCTGCTTCTGACGCGGTGATCAAGTCTCACAAAAAAATTATTCACTTGATGGATATTTGTCACACCTCTGTCTGCGACGGTATGTGTATAATTGCAAGCGGTTCTCCAAGACGGTCCCTGGGCTGCAAGAGTTTTGGTATTGGAGTGCTGACTCAGTTACTCACCGAGTGGATCTTAAACCCGCATACAAGAGTGGCAGATGAGATCCATCCCACCTTCAGACTGCCGGCCACACTGTCCTATTCCCATGCAGCCCTTATATTTCTGTCAATATTCATTTACTTTCGCGGAAATATTAGTGGTTCAGTCTGTCATACTTTCATCCGTGTGACAATTAACTTTTCACACTCCCCCCTCTCCATTCCTTCCGTCCCTCACTGTTAACGGGTTGTCATGGACCAAGACAGTTATGCTCCATACAGAACAGCGAGACTCATAGGGTAGTTGAAACCGAAATTTCGCTCTACAATTCGGCGGTTCGCAATGATTACAGCACGAGTCGCCCCCTTGTTTCCTGTGAAAACCTGGCCCATCGTGCGCGAACCACACATATGAGGCACGCGTAGACATTTGACCTTGTTAACCACTGCTTCCGATTCCTTTTTCGGTCTTATCGACTCTGTCTTGCCATCAGGTCCAGAAGGGTGTGGGAGAGCAAAGTGCGGCAGATGCTGGACAAGCCTGCTTTTGCTATAAACCAATTCATGCGCAAGTCGCTGTCCTACACCCAGCATGCTGCAACGCAGACAGTGAGCATCGTTCGCCCCAAAGGGGCCACTAGGCAAATGTGCTGGACCAACACGAGCGCCATATCGGATTTCGGCTGACGTTATCGGAATGCGCGCCATTACAAATGCCAACATTTCGGGGAGGGGGGGGGTGCGATGGCAGACCCAGTTACCGGTTGATGTCGCGCACATTGAGACCCCTGTCCCCTTACCCATTGTTGTCGGCTAAAATCCTGGTTATTTACTGTGTGGGCCAGGGGGTGTGGAGTGGAGCGCAAAGGTGCGGGCCCGGCCGTGCTATCCACCTGTGGCCTCCCCCCTCCGGCCTTCTTGACTCTGTCTTGACGCTGAGTCAGGGTGGGGGAGGAGAGAGTGCGGTAGATGCAGCGCAAGTCTACGATCACTATAAGCTAACTTACGCGCAAGTCACAGTGCCTGCTTCACGTTGCTGTGGTGCACACGATGGACATCGTCGACAACGACGGTTGGACTGTCGAGCATCTTTTGCGAAGTTCGAACTGACACTCGCATGAAAGTAACAGTTTTGTCATCTAATAAACGTTATTGCTCTGGCCGTGCTGTCAAGAGGGGTTCGTCATTTTCTTGCTGTCGAATTCTGAACTTCCAAAGATTATTATCATTTATTCACATTAATTATTTATAAAATCGTACGATGTTCCGGCCTTTCAGCTACTCGAAGATTAAGAGATCGGAGGCCGAAATGGAAGTCGTTTTCAAACTTTAAGGAGTTGAGAAAGCTTTCAAGCGTATTTGCAAAAACACCCGGGCTTTAGAAAGTGGCGGTTTACGTGCGTACAGAACGAATTCCAATGTAGCAGTCAGGTAGCAGCCTATGCACAAAGCAGCGGATGAATTGATATTTCCAAAAATCGGTTGTACCAGATCCCATCGGTGGGCAAGCCTGCTTACCTCCCTCTCACTTCGTTAAGATTAATTATGTCGATACTGCCGAGACCTGGTTGGCTCAATTAATGGCGAACACATGCACCTGTCTCAGCTCTTTAACTCGTATCTAAAGCCTCCTCTTCACTTTCACCGTCATTCTGGAGTCTAAGCATTACCTAGTCGGCAGCAGGTACGCTTTTGAGCTGTTTAGATGGTCTGCCCAAATGCCAGGGGGTTTAAGGTGCCAGTACATAGTAGGGGCAAAAAATTGTCCAATTTACGACAGCTCCGAGTGTGTGGACATGGGGAAGAACACGGAACGCTTTCACATGAAGATGATCGCTGGAGCCAATGGTTGACTGCTGCTGCTCTCAACCGTCGCTCCACACGCGGGCAAAAGACGTGATTCATCCTCGATGGATTGCAACCCCGTATCCACAAGCTGGAGTCCCAGTGTCTGAATGTAGTAAAAACCGGTCGGGTATACCATGATGAGGACGTTTTCGAACATATTCGGGAGTAGTTAAGATCGAACTCAAAACTGAAAACTCTGACCCTCGCTATGGTATTCATTTGACTCAAAGTCTTTTCTGACGCATTTTCCTGCTCTTATCTTAAATGCCGACAGATATTTGTGAGGTCTATATCTGGTCGAAGAAACGTTTAAACGGACTGTTTACTGAAAAAAATACCTAGGAAAACGCAAATATCGGAACCCGGGTCAAACTCCTCCCAGCCACATCGTGCAGCGACAAAGAACTGATCAGATTGGCAAAGTTGAGAGATCCGGGTTGATCATTTAAAGAAGAAGAAGGAAAATAAGAAGAAGAAGAAGAAGAAGAAGAAGAAGAAGAAGAAGAAGAAGAAGAAGAAGAAGAAGAAGAAGAAGAAGAAGAAGAAGAAGAAGAAGAAGAAGAAGAAGAAGAAGAAGAAGAAGAAGAAGAAGAAGAAGAAGAAGAAGAAGAAGAAGAAGAAGAAGGGCTCTCCGGAACAGGTTTATTTAAGTGCTGACTTTTCAAAGAGCTTGGTCGGCTTTCCATTGTCAACGTGTAAAGTGCACATAATCGAGCAGAAATTTCAAGTGGCATGTCGTGTTGGTCGGCCTCATGCTGATCGATTTTTCTCTCCTCTCGCTGACTCGACCTCTCGGGAGATGGTTGACGGACGTTTTGCCTGTGTGCTTTGCGAGTCACCACTCCGTCGAGGGGAGCTGAGTGAACCTTTGTCGGGTGGTCGGTCTGGCGGTTCTTGTTCTTCCTCACCGAGTAAACTCGCCGTCAGGCTATCTCCGTACGGCCTTCTCAAGTCCGGTGTGGTTTTTTGGTCCTGAGCTCTACGATTGGGATGACGTAGGACTTTGTAAGCTGCAGGAAGGTCCAGATGACTGTTGATAGAGTGGGCATCGGAGAACTACGCCTCGAGAGTTAACCGTTCTGCTCTTGTGTTGCCGCGGCCTAAGATGATAGCTCTCTGAAGATCAAAAATATGCCCAGTTTCCCCAACGTGTGTTGCTAGTTCAGTGTTAGGTCTAATCTCGGAGTGGCCGATTTGTGCTCTTGTAGGCGAGTTTGAAATTTCCGCCCGGTTTCTCCCACATAGTTGCAGTCGCTCTCATTGTAATTTAGTTTGTAGATGATTTCGGAGGTTTCAGCGGGTGGCAATTGATCCTTGGGCTGCACCAGATGGCGTCGAATTGTTGCCTGGGGTCGACGGGCCATGCCTACTCTGGTGGGTTGTAACAGTCGCAAGACCGCTTCAGAGACCCCTTTAACGTAAGGAATGGCCCTCCAGACTTCGGGTTGCTGCTCATTTGGCTGTCATCTGTGCGCCCGACGTCTGCTTCTCTCGATACAAGGTCTGGGATAACCATTGGCTGCGAACAGGTTCACAAGGTACAATCGTTCGGCTCTTTTATCTTCTGGCGTGCTGCAGTGTGTTTCGACTCTTTGGAATAGAGTGCAGACACAACTACGTTTGTGAGAAAGATGATGGTTGCTGTTTAAGTGTAGGATCTGTCTCGTGTCGGTGGATTTTCGGAATACCGTAGTTTGCAGTTGTCCAGTTGTACACCGGCGCACAAGTACGTCAAGGAAGGGCAGTTGGTTGTTTATTTCTGCTTCCATCGTAAATTGGATAACCGGGTCAACCGAGTTCAGTAGTTCCTTTAGGTGGTCACTGTCAGTTGTTTTAACATCGACGAAGCTGTTATCGACATAGCGGGCCCAGAACTTTGGTTAACACTTGGGGAACACCATGTGTTCTACCCGCTGAAGAACTACTTCAGCGATTAGGCTTGATATAGGGGAGCCCATAGGAGTGTCTTTTATTTGTTCGTACATCTGTCCACCGAAGGTGAAATAGGTCTTGAGGCAGTATCGCAGAAGTTCGAGCAGATGTTCAGATTCCAGGGGCTTGTCTCTCTCCTAATAACGATCTGCCAGTAGGTTCCATCACCTAACCTAGACAGAGTGGTGACTCACGAAGCACGCAGCCAAACGTCCGTCAACCATCTCCCGAGAGGTCGAGTCAGCGAGAGGAGAGAAAAATCGATCAGCATGAGGCCGACCAACACGACATGCCACTTGAAATTTCTGCTCGATTATGTGCACTTTACACGTTGACAATGGAAAGCCGACCAAGCTCTTTGAAAAGTCAGCACTCAAATAAACCTGTTCCGGAGAGCCCTTTTTTTCTTTTCCTTCTCCTTCTTTTTTCTTCTTCTTCAGAGAACTGACCAAAACGTGGACTGACTTCTAGTTACTTCCTGCGGTGGGAACATAGGAAAACAAAGTCCTCTACTGTTAGATGTTCGGATGCAGGTATCGGGTTTTCCATTGATCATGATTTTCAACTCAAATGCCTATAAAATAATTGATGAAGGACCTGACGAGTCTTGCCTGGATGAGTGAATCCAGTTTGCACAGCATCTGCGATGAAATTGTGACTCACCTGGCTATTCCTTTTCCTAAATAGCTGTCTCTTGGTACAGTTGCACCTGTGACTATCACTCCTGTCCGGAGATTACGATTGTCAATGGATCTAAGCATTTGTACCTCATGTAAGTGAGAACTGTGCACATTCTCAAACAGGAGGTTAGTCCGTCTCCACAACGCTAACAAATTGCACCCTATGCTTGATATACGAATGACGCATGATGGTTTCCTGATAGCTGACGCGTACATACGTCCGACCGAATGGACCCATGCATGATCTAAGTGCATTTGCTTGTATGAATGATGTTGGAAACCTGGGCTGCGCTGTCTGAGTGACAAGTTCCGTGCTTTCGTCCAAGATCTAATAGACTCATGAGGTGTTTGAATGCCTTGGGACATCGTGGTCAGCTAAGTCATGCGTGTTCTTGGTCGGGACCCCCTGACACTGGCGCTTTGGTCGCACTGAAATGGTTTCGTATGTGACCCACCAAGCCGGTGTGGGATTAGCACGCGCGGTCGTAGTGCGGACAAATTGGCTCTTTGTCTGCATTGCCAACGGTAGTTTTCTTCTGTGTCCTGACTGCATCCTTACTGGACTGGGTACGAAAACGTATGCATGGCCACTTGAGACAAATGGCCTCACCTTTTAACCGCCAGTTGGTGCTGTTGGATGTGTGTAGAGGCGAATTTTCCCGTTTCACTACAATATACGGCATCTCAGGCACTGCATGAGATCTTGCAGACGGTTTCACCCTTGTCAAGATAGTCAACCCTATCCTTATAGTGTACAGGACGAATGCGTAACTTAGTCGTCGGCTTGGACGTCCCTTGTATTTAGTGTTACCTCAAGCGTCTTTCAACGAGTTTAGACACATTCCTGATGTAAGAAAGGATTCGCTAAGTATTTGTTTTGGGAGTTTGATTAGAACTATCTAGTTTATTTTCTTTTGACTCCCGCTGTTTTGTGCATCGACGTACTAAATATCTGGAGTAAACATTTTTGGAAAATAATTCAAATAGGCAATTTAGCTCGAGTCGGTAGATTTCTCCGCCAGAGTAATGTGTTTTTGCTCGATGAAGCAGACTGTTAATGTTACTCTGCTAGCGAGATATTGGGTTTTGATTCCCTAGTGTATAATTATTTTCGCACGAGAGGCGAAACCGTCTGTCTCGAGTAATTATGCATAAGCTGACAGTTTGACCGTCGTTGCCGACTATGTCCACCGTGTGCTCCACTGAGAGGTGAAGCAGACTCCTGTACGTCATGTTTGGGAATCCGGTCCTGCAAACTCGGCGTCAGTATCCGTCGAAGACAGTTAAGGTAGAAGTGTTTGAGTCTCCGCGCCTGCTTCTCGTAGACCGTCTAGGTCTCCGCTCCATACAGAGCCGTCGGCAGTATAACTGCCTTGTACATCTTCAGTTCCGTGCTGAGATGGAGACCGTGACGGTTCCAGACGGTGCTCTACAGACGGCCGACGGCTTGACTGGCCTTGGAAATCCGGCGGGCCACTTCGTCGTTGATTTCCGTGCTGCTGGAGAGGGTGCTGCCGACATACGTGAAGTTGTCCACCACTTGCAGTTGGGTTCCGTTCACGCCGATTTGCGGCGCATTGTGGGCTGCGTTGGGTGGCGGTTGGTGCATGACAAACGTATTTTACGTGTTGATGATCGGACCGGATTTCTCGCAGGCGGCGACGCAGAGATCCATGCTCCTTCACATGTCCCCTGCCATGGTGGCGTTGAGGGCGCAGTCATCGGCGAACAGAAGTTCATGGACGGTGGTTGTGGATATGCGCGACTGGAGGTGCACCTGCCTGCGGTTGAGGAGGTGACCGTCCGTCCTGTAGGCGATGCAGATGCCAGGGCGTTCGTCACGGTGGGCGTCCATCAGCATGGCAGAGAATATAAGACTGAAGAGGGTAGGCGCCAGCACGCATCCCTGCTTCACTCCGTTGGTCACTGCGAATGTCTCTGAGACAGCTCCATTGTCCATGACGCGCGCCATCATGTCATCGTGGAGCTGACTCACCATCTGAATGAACCACTCGTGACAGCCGAACTTCTGCCTGAATTTCAGCAGTCCATCACGATTCACCGTGTCGAAGGCTTTCGTCAGATCCACGAAGGTAGAGTACAGGTGGGTCCGCATCTCCTGGCACTTCTCCTGAAGCTGACGGGCGGCGAAGATCATGTCCGTGGTCCCACGATGACGGCGGAAGCCGTACTGGCTTTCCGGCAGAAGAGCTTGTTCTAGATGGTTGTTCAGACGACTGAGAAGGACGCAAGCGAAGATTTTCCGAACGATATTCAGCAAGGAGATTCCTCGATGATTGTCACAGAGCTGGTGGTTTCTTTTTCGTTTGTATAGGTGTACGATTGTGACGTCTTTGAAATCCTGATGGACTTCTCCTTGAGGCCAAATCTCCTGGAAGAGCGCAGTCAAATGATTCATGAGTTGGGGGCCGCCGTGTTTGTAGACCTCAGCAGGGATCGCGTCAGATCCGGGTGCTTTCGCGATGGAGAGCTGCTGCATGGCTCTGATGGCTTTGTGGAGAGAGGGTGGGAGGTCGTTGTCGACGTTGGTCGCCACTTGCGGCAGACGGGCTATGGCAGCGTCGGAGATGATGGGGGGACGCATGAGGAAGTCTCGGATGTGCTCGGCCCATCGCTGTAGGATTTGTGTCTTCTCGGTGAGTAGGGTACTGCCGTCGGCGTTGAAGAGAGTAACAGTACCTTTGGTTGGCGGACCGTATACAGTCTTTACTGCGGAAAAGAAGTTCTTCCATTCGTTGCGGTCCGCATTCCCTTGGATCTCCTCAGTCTTGCGAGCCGTCCAGACGTCCTGTATCTCGCGAAGCCGCCGTTAGAGGAGGCGGCGACTACGGTAGAAGGCAGCTCTGTTGTCATCGGTGGGACAGTCGACGTAGGCTTTGTGCAGGCGGCTCTTCTCGACGAGCAGGTTGTTAATGGCGACGTCGATGTCATCAGACCTGTCCTGGCGCTGGCGACGTACGCGACCGAGGACAGCCAGAGCTGTCGACCGGACTGTGGCCCGGCAATTGGCACCATCGGTACTCCGTGGAGGCTTTTTCATCAGCGGCGGCAGCGGAAACGACCGGAAGGTTGTCTAGCCGTTGAGCAAGCTCGTTGCCGAAATGGAGATGGTGAGCGGGCAAAGACAACAAGGCAATATTCAGCATACCTGGGAGTCGCTTACCTTGTGGTCTCCTGCGAGGCTGTAGGCGAATCCGCATCTGCGAGATGACGAGGCGATGGTCGATCCACCTGTCGGCACTCGAGATCGCCTTGGTCAACAGCACGTCCCGCTGACCTCGCCCCCGGACGAGGACATAGTCCAACAGGTGCCACTGACGCGACCGAGGATGCCTACGGGTGGTCTTCTCTCGCTCCGGCAGATAGAAGAAGGTTTTCGTCAGGATTAGGCGGTGTTCGCCGCAAGTGTGGAGAATCAGCAGACCGTTGTCATTTGAGTCGTTGAGACCATGGAGACCCAGCACTCCTCCCCGGGCATTTTGCTCGGTGCCGACGTGGGCGTCTAAGTCACCAAGGACAATCAACTTATCCGCCTTCGACGCAGTCGCCAGGAGGGCATTCAGGTCGTCGTAGAAGTTGTCCCTTGTGGCGTCAGGACTGGTCATCGGCGGAGCGTAAGCGCTGATGATGGTGGCGAATTTGCCTCCCCGAAGAGGCAGGCGGAGGCTTATCGTGTGATCTTTAATGCCCTGCAACAGGCAACGCAGGCATCCTACGATATCGTTCCGGCTGGCAGGGGCGACACCCGCGGTCCGTCGCTCTACCCTGGGGCGACCGCTCTAGAAGGTGTAGCCGGCACCCACCTCCTGCAGTTGGCCTTTTACAGAGAACCGGGTCTTGCTCAGTGCGGCGATGTCCAGCTTGCATCGCACCAGTTCCCGAGCCACTAGCGCTGTCCTCCATTCCAGTCGGTTGCTCCTCGGATTGTCTAAAAAGGAATGAGCATTCCAGGCTGCCAGAGTGAGCGGACTTACCCTGCCAGTCTGGCGATTGCGGCGGCGAAAAGGAGGAGGAGGGGAAGAAGGAGAATGGGCAGGACGAGGAAGAGCGAAATGGGTGTTGTTTCGATTTTGACTGTTTCGACCGTGTGTTTCTTGTCTGCGGCCACGGTCAGCCTACAGACAACGTGGTTCCCAGCAATTTTAGGGCACCTTTTCTAGCCCCCTACCTCTCGTGGGGGTGAGCAGTGCTATCTCTAAGTAGGGCTACTCGGTAATGTTAGGCGCTGCCGAACTCCAATATGGGCCAAGTCTTGGGTTAGTGGGAGAGCGACCCGAGTTAACCTGGGACTGTCTACGACATAGCTGTAAGCTTGTGGCCTTCTACGGTGTACCAGACGGAGCCTCGTCTCGACGGTGTCGATGAGAAGATCCATCCGGCTAGCAGAGTCCACATTACCGTGCGTGCAGATGTCCACACGGATACCCTCACCTGGTTTAGCCCACCGGTCGAGGCGGTTACCGGGCTGTGGCCGCTGGGCAGAGCTTAGCCTCGAGGGACCACATTTGAGATTTAGGTGCCAAAAAATGGACTCGAGACGTAGTCTGCACCTGTAGGCCAGTGAGCGGCCTATTACAACCGTCTCGTGAACTCACTTATGGACACCCCTACACATCCATGCATAACCTACATACTAGCACACCGCCTGGGACAAAACTCGTATTGTCGGCATCTGTCCCACCAGAAAAGGCAGAGAATTTCCCGAAGCCGTGCACTCAGATGTGTCATGCATACATCGACATATTGAGTACAGGAATCTCAGGGAAAGTGGAAGAGATGAGAACCAATTGATACGTAATGACGCACACGGCTGCCGCTTACTGGCGCAAACAGCGAACAAGCATCGATGTTTTTCAAAGCACGTTTGAAATATAAACTGTTTTTTGTCCGTCTACTCAACGTCTGACGGCGACCTGGGGAGCCAGTGTCCAAAATTTACCCATTAACGTTTCCTACTGTTCCCAAAGGACGTACTTGACTCCAAATTATATTCCTCGGAATGCCCTCCCTCCGACACATTTTCATACACAAAGGAACTGCAGCGGTGTTCTTCTGCCTAAGGTGAACACTACCGCCACGGCTATTTTGTCGCCATTTGTTCCATTATCTGTGCGCTGATTGGCCTTTACTTTTGCACCCAGACCCGAACGGTAAAACTTGCCCACTGGCAGGAAAACCTCCCCGATGCATTTACTATTGTTCTAAACGCTTCCACGCATTTTCTACTGGAGATTCAGCGACAGCATAGTATTAGGCCGTTTTTCTTTGTTTTTTTTAGTCTTTCGTATCTGGTTGATAACTTAGCCGTCACATTTCCTGGACCTATACTTTCATCTAACCTCGAAGTCCTGTCAGGTGCTTGCGTGTTAACAGCTGAACAGACATCCCATTTGAACATCAACAATCTCATCTTCAGCTTTGAACGAATGAGAGCAATTTCACATGACTGAATGATAAACGTGGGGTGCGATTGTGTGGGGATTTCTTTTGCTGGCGGAGGCGTAACGAGTGGTCTTTTTAAACGTGGGTGGCGTCGGCGACCTGACCAACTGTAGAGTAGTGAGTGATTGCTCGACACCACTGGTATTCGGAAGGTTTCGCTAAACTGCTCGTTTATGTTGCTTATCAGAATCCACTTGTTGCATATTCTGGTTCATCGCTGGCATGCGAATTGTGCGAGGGTATTCCGAAAAAAACACATCCTCCGTTTTCCAAACGTATCTTAGCGCGTCCTTGTAGTTTCAAAGGTGCTCGCTTTTTCCTAGTGAGGAAACTAAGAACTGGATTCTTACGAGATCGACCTCTCTCTCTCTCTCACGCCTCCCAAGCACATGAGACCAATCCGACTAGGGCTGACGGGATATTCGACTGGGTGGAGTGGTTGAAATGGCGTGAGCCTCCTAACTTGTACTACACGCACTTAGAGCAGTAGCTAATAGCTTACATGAACTCCGCGCAGCCTTGCTATAGCGTGTCATCAGACATTGTGGCCAGCGTTTAAAGTTAGCGCAAAACGAGCACAGTAACCGTCAGGTATTTTTTCTGACACTACCTGTTCCATTTTGCCAACTGCGGAAGTATGCTTGGCGTTTATCAAGTGGTCCGCAAAGGAGCACTTTCCAGTATTTATAAGAGTCTTCTTGACCTTTATTGCTTTCTCGCTTGCTGCAGACTTTTTGTAGACGGTCACATCGTCTGAGTTGACCATTCGCGTAGCACATTGCACGCTGAGGGAGTTTCCTCAAGTGCCTCATTTAAATGGCCACCGGGGCTGCCGATAATGAGTCCGCTTGCTCATTAGCAGGTAAATTGCGGTGTCCTTATCGCCGGGCGACGATGATTCTGCGACTAAATCGTTCTAACAGTCCAGGCGTTCAGTGTTTGGAAAGCTAGTTGTGTCAGTGTACTTTAGTCGCAGTCTTCCTCAGCTGTTCTCAGTCTCTTATTCTCCTAGCATTCCTCCGGAGGGATATAAACTGCCGGTTTATTTTACCCATATAGGGTTATCTTTGGCTGGTTCAGGACTCGTTCTACGAGGCGAGTGTGCTGTCTGCATGTCAGGTGGTGACTACACTAAATTAATAAGGATTTTTGGCTGGAATAAATGTTATTATTTGGCCTGAAGGCGACTGGTTGTGGTTAAATTACTGTCTCGTGGGTACTTGTAGATAGGGCGCCTGCTTCACAGTTTGGAATGGCAAGACTCAAATTTCGTCGTCTGACCCATGACACAAATGATTTTCCTACCTTATCTTTTCTCTGAAATTATTCTGAGAACGTACCTGATGTCCAATTGTCAGACCACTAGGTAAAAGACTAGTGGAGATGCCCTCTGACTTTAAAGATATTGTCACAAAAACTCTGATGGAGTTTTAAATGGACACAGAACTTCCTTGCCGGACTTTAAGATTAATTGTAAGGGGACTGATTATGCTTGAAGAACATGAGACGGTCCTGCGACCGAGGCGGCAAAGGTGCCTTCTCAGTCATTTTGCGTAGCGCAACACCTGACCAGGTGCCGCCTTCGAGGAATCCGAAACAGCAAAATCATTCATTGAACAGGTTCCTCGTGGATATTGCTGCTGATACACTTCAGGACAATTTTTCTGTTCAATGCAGACATTGACATTAATTAGCCGGTGGTCCTTCTTCAGGTTTGGGCGGGAGCAATGGATGAGGATTATCCCCATTGATTTGCCCACCGCTTGAGTCAGCTTGTTTAGTGGAGAACTTGTGGGCTGTTTGGCGTCCCTCTCCACTTTCTGTGTTTCGCCTCTGTCAAATGTCTTCCCAATTTCGTTTCTGCAGAGAGTTAGAATATGGGTTGAGAAATTCTCAAAGCACTGCTGCTCCACCAGAAAAGGTGGAAAATGCGACATCAGTTGCCGGTGGCCGTCCTGAAAACGAGTGTCATTAAGACTTCATTAGTTCGTCGGTTCTTGAGGAAATTAACCTTAACGGCAGGTGTTAGTGGTGTTGATTCACCTGTTCTGATTTTAGGACGAGGGGTTCGGTTTTAGGATAGAACAGTGATCTAGAGCCCTTATGGGCAGTCATCCAGCGGCGAGCAATCAGAAATTGAGAAGTGCTCTCGACAAACGCATGGGAGATTCTAATTGTCAATTCTGGCTTGCAGGCTGTCATAGAACAGCCACACGCCGGGAAAACATAGAGCTTGAATCCGAACACCCACGTCCTGCAATCAGAATAAACCGATAAACGCTGGCCCCATATTGTAACGTCACTTGAACTGAACAGTGTTGTTTGAATGCTGTGACACTTTTGGGGCGCGGATCCAGGATGAAGATGATGTGACCGCGTATCGGCGAAGGTAGCCAGTGTTTCGTCCTCACGTCCCCGCCGACCCTTCTCCCGCTGTTACCGTCGTTACCGTACCGTACTCCCGCTCTACGTCGGCACTTTCCACGGCCCCACCCGCAGTTGCCGACAGCGCTGCAATGACCTGTTTCACAACTCTCTTCAGGTCAGATTAGCCAGGAATTCTATATAAAGCTCCACGTTACCCCTTGTGTGCTACCGTTAACGTCTTTGACCGCTACAATATGACTCTAAATATATTCGGTCGCGACCTCTAGGATCTGAGCCCGTAGATAAATGCTCGCGCGTCTGATACAATCACCGACCGCATCCGGACTAAGGTTGGAGCGTGGGTGACTAAGAACAGTAAGCTAGAAATCGACCTTCCAGTAAACCTCATATCTATTGGAAACACTTTTCGAACTTCATCTATGGCCAACAACTCGAAATAGTGACGTGGGGGCGGTTGGCTCCTACAAACAGCCGAAATGTTCTTTTATATTCTCCAATTATTCTTGTTGTCTCAGGTTTCTTTTCAGTCGGTGATCTTCCCATGGTACACAGCAACCGTTTCTATTGCATTTAACTACCAAGCGTACAATATATCCCGATCTTCATGTAGTCGACCTTTCCTACAGGGTTCAGTTCCGCAACTACTACTGTTTCATTCGATGTCCTTGCCTTGCTTTGGCCCTGAAGCGCAGTGCCTGAGTGGCCTTCTTCGTGCGCTGCGTGTTGGTATTTGTATCAGTTGCTTCCTATTCAGTCGTTTTATGAACTGTAAGTTAGATGCCCTGGCAAATACACCGTTTTACATAACAGGGCTAAAATTGCGATAGGATTATTATGCCCGCAGGTGAACGGTAGCACCGGAACGCAGCTATTTTCTAAAAGCATGCTTTCCTGTAATCTAAATTCCGTTTGCATCCAGCAGTTACATCAGTGTCTCGGCTGAATTCGTTTTGGTGGACCTATACAGAGCAGAGGTAGTTAGGGCGCTGACGCTCATCACGGTGGCCTCTGTCTCACCACTCATCAGCCCAATTGGCTCTTCCATGTGATCTTTTCTCTACCTGTAAGAGGTAAATCTGGGAGTAGCACATTCCGCTGCTGCTTTCATCGCACGTGTTCAGAATGGGCATATTGGGGGAGTTGTAAGCCATGGCAGCATCAAGGTGACAAGACAAAAGCAGAAAGAATAAATATTTTTGTGGGCAGAGGGCGCGACCGTATATCAGTTGTAAGATCAGTCGGGTCTGACTAACACAGTAACTCGTCAAGGTCGCGCCGAGCTGTCAGGGCTGACAGTTTGGCGTACGTAGGAGGAATGCGCATACTAAAAGTGGGGCCATATAACGCTGGGGAAAATGGGTCACCGCAGTACCGCTCTCTTCTAGACTGAAGTCAGTTCGAACTACGCCGATTATTTAGCTTATGTCGGCAAATCAGAGGTATAGAACGGTCGGGAAAATGAGGATTTCATCAACTTCCACTTGAGCGGACAGGGTAATATGGGAAGTTTAGCTTGATAACGTGTGTGCAAAGAGAGTTTCTGCCTGTGATTATGTGGAAGGGAGGGGGTCGCGGGAGGAGTAGGGGACAGAATACTGTCAAGTTGGATGGTAAAGAATCACAAGATTCCTGAATCCCAGGTCAGAGAGACACGGTTGGTAAGATACTTTTAGATCGAAACTACGCCCTTCAGGGAGGAAAACCTGAGCAGTTTTTATGCATCAGTCCGTTGAGCGTGTCCATTCCATGTGAGAGATTGTTGTTAAATCCTAGCGCACTGGTTTCGCTAACTAGTGGACGCACGAATGATGACTGATGGACGAATATTGCGCACTACAAGATGAGCGGTTCGAAATGGCACGGCTATGGTCTTGGCGGCGCGGAGAATTCAGTAAAGAACACGTCGTCACAGAACCGCAAAAACACGTCCTGAGTGAGTCGGGCGGCAGTTTTCAGGCTTTCTACGCCAACAGTATTCTCCTCATCATTCTGCAAATTGAGAAAGACGTTTCTTGCCCGAGAACCAACCCGGAAGGCCACATCTCGTGGTGATTGGAGTAACTGGCATCGAAAATGCAAATCACCATGCATTTGGCCAGACAAGGCTGAGAGACAGATTGGAGAGGAAGTAGGAAGATAGTCTGCATAAATTGACGAGAGCCCTGAAGAAAGTGGTCGGGGTCTCCATTCGCACAGGGAGCTATTGTAGAAACTCGTCCCTGGGAAGCAGGTCGTATTGCTAAACACCGGCCCAACAGAGAAGTGGGTAAAGTCGAACTGCCCGGGTTTATTGACTGCAATGAAAAATCATGGGAAGGTGACTAGTCTGTTGCCCAGTATCTCCCACGTCACGTAGAGCAGTTTCATCTGGTAGTAAAACCACTCCACCACCTCATCGGTACGGAGTTGATAAGCCGCTGTCAGGATCTGGGTGCAGCCTAAAAGGTTTGGGAGAGATTGGAAGAAACCGGACTGGGTGTTGCAGTTAGTCGCAATGGTGAAATGGACGTCGAAGATTGTGACCCAGTGACTGCGTAAGACTTCGACAATGGCACTGGCCTTTATGTTTTGGCAGGTTGATGGCATCTGGTCACCGAGGATGAGGGACAGTCACTTGACAGCAAGAGGGGTCTTCGATGTCCTTGATAACTGTTGGCCCCAGTGACTTTAAATGAGGCGAAGTAGTCGAAGTTTGTACGCGGGAATAGGTATCGCCTCCCGTATTACAGGTGGTCCTACGCTAAATTCCAGAGGGGGGACTACCTATTCCCGTGTCCTGACCCTAATCTTAGTCCCTTTGAATCTAGCGCAAGACCACCTGTAAGACGGGGTTACCTACTTCTGTCTCTACTTCGCCGAAATCCGCAAAGCATTGACGTGAATGACTCCAGTTTCGGCACATCTTTGGTGTTGACCGTTAATTGACCTAGTATCTGCAGATCTGCAACCAACGTACGAATCTAGAGCGTACGTGAATTTGCCACTGCTTAGTATATCACCTCTTAGCCAAACATCTGCCAGTTTAGTGAAGCGAAGCACTAAAACAGTAATTAGCAAGGATCAATGACAAAACTTAATGAGCTTAAAGGAGCAGGAGAGGGGATGAGGGAAGGAAGAAATAAAGAAAGATAAATCCCTCTTGTACCTAGTTCTTTAGCGTCAGGATTAACGGTGAGGGTCACATCGTCGATGGTATCTCAAATCCTTAGAGCTGTGGCCGGTCCCGGGGCCTTTTGCTACCTCTAATTTGTCCAGGGACGGCCCCGAAAGTACAGAGGCGACTATAGCTTTCAAATCGGCGTAACGGTGGAGGAGAAATGTGTTTGGAAAACATACCATAAGCCGGACGGCTGACTGACTGCGTGTACGGCGCCACTGTTGATGCCGCCATCATGAAGGGGGTCGCATCATCTGGGTGCATGCGCACCTGTGCTGGGTTCGTGTGTACGTGCGACGCGACGCTGCCTGCGCACCATGGGATGAGGCAGCAACAGGACTGAAGGCGTAGTGTTTGGCTTTGGCCTCACCTGTGGACGGGAAGATAGGCAGACAATTGGGTCTGAGGCGGGCGATGAACCGGTATTCAGGAAGCCCCAGGTTACAGCTTTTCCAATCTACATAACACAGACGACAAACGGGGCAACCCTGGCGTCCAAAGCTTCCATTTGCAAAAGACGTAAACGTTTTTGACGCGTCTTGTTTCCCTGATCGATTGATCACGACTGCTAATCGAACTTTTTCTTGCATTGGTAGTCAAAATTAACCAAGGCAGCCAACCGATTCCCGGAGAAGTGCCCGTTTCTTATGGATGCACTTTGTTGAAAAGTACTGGGTAAGGATCGGGTGAAGGACCCAAACATCTGTGGCACAAAAGAATACCTATTACACTTATTTAAGTGGGTTTTAGTCCGACACGATTATTTCAGTCTACTGTTTCATCGTATAAGTTTGGGTCGTTTGTTGTAGACTGTCTAGTGCATCATCTACAATGATCTCGGCTCAGAGAGTTGAGAAACGATCGTTGTAGACACTTACTGTTCACTTTTTAATTGTCCTGCTTAACTTCGGTTGCTATATGTCAATGCATTAAAACTTTTCCGCCCGAAAAACGAATTCACCAATTTTCTATACTTATTTGGCCATTCCTCTATGCATGCATAGGCCCCGCCCGTAAAACCCCTATTACCATCTGTCCCCGTCAGACAGGCCCCTTTGGATGGTCGTGTGTGTGTGTGTTTGGGGTCCTTCACCCGATCGTTGCCGTCCTTGTTTTACATATACTCCTGCTTCCGACTTTATCTTCCCATATCTGTAGTGTAAGAAAAGGTACTGTGTCATTCAGTCAGCTAGTCAAGTGGTCGAGTCACCGAGGTTTTCCGCTGTGATCGGAGCATAAACTTGTAGGTACATCGCATGCACTAGTTTTCGGGCAGCAGTTCGGCCCTTGAGGCTTTACACCCGATGGGCTAAAAGTAACCAATATGATCCTTTGTGGCAAAGGACGTTTTGTGACAGAAATTACGATGTAGCCGACCACAAAACCGGCGTCACGCACCTTTCTGGCTCGCTGGCGTGTCGAGGTCATCCATCTTGGATTCGAGAGTTCCCAGACCCACTGCCCTTACAGTATGAACGATTATCTCGACTGACTTTGGCGTAAGCATACGTACTTCCAGGCAGTCACAGGAATTCATGCCTCATGCAGAGCACTGTACGCGCACTAGGAAATAAGGTCCTATAACTCGCTCCCACGAACTTCCAAGAACAGTATATTACCCAAACACAATATCTCACTGTCAGGCATGACTTTGCGTTTTTTACACGTTCCTGGCCTCCCCTGCAGGCACTGCTGCCAGAGGTAGCAGTTGAGCATCTTGTGGAGAATAAACCTCTCCCATCGTTTATCCTTCATCTTTTACTACTGTCCTATCCTCCTTTGGAGCGAGGGTCGGACTACAATGGCTGCTTCTTAATTTGGTCTTTCGTGTAGAATATATTGGTCGCACGAGTCGACTTTTGTCCAAAAGAATAAGAGAACATCTCTCACTATGGTTAGGAAATAGTCGAACAAAGAACGTTAACAGCTCTTTCCTCGCGCACATGGTAAACACAGACCACCGTGTAGACACCAGAGAGGCTTTCGGAGTGATTTACAAGGTCCCGTCAAGCTATCAAGAACTACTTTGGCAGCGCCTGTTGGTTACGACAGACGCGGCTGCAATCAGGCTACGCAAACCAGTCCTGTGCACATGGAAGAGCTTCATACAAGACCAGCGGTTTGCATGGTCCAAAGCAACCAAGCCAGCCACCCGTATACAATTATCTGTCCCGGTGACCACCACCTCCTTGGCGCCGACTGGAATTTTGGTATTTCACCCCCCCCCCACAAACCCGAGCTACGGCATACTTATCTACTTGCCAGCATCCTTTTATTCATTAGATCAATAGCTATATAAATATACAGGCCTAAAGAGAATTTGTTGAAAGTAGACGTATTCTCGTCAAACCGTCTTTTAGATTCTCCCCTTTGTGTCATCAAAGATATCTCGCTTTCTGTGAAACCCATCTCCTGTGCAGTTGCGGGCCAGATTGCGTGTGGCAAGCATAGAATTATTTCGCACTATCAGTCACTGTATGGACGCATTCGCAAATAATCATCTCGCCATCGGGACGCAGGTGATCCTCGTAGCTTGAGATGGACGCAATGTCACTGCTGACTGACACTTCGCATCACGAATTTGGCGACTAGGATAAACTCATTATTTTGGCCATTAAAATATGGCCAAGTAACAGAAACCGCTGGGGTACTTTTTCAGCGAAAACATATTCCTCTAGACTTCCCTCTTTCAGTTACCAATTGACGACATCGTGAACAATAATTCCTCGTGCCTCGAGAGACCCTCCGTAAAGCTCGCGTTAAATGCTGACAGCAGAGCACTACCAGTAATACGATAATCATGTCTTCTTTACAGTCAGACTGGAAATTCGCCCAATGGAGAGAAAACCGCAGGACTTTAAGTTTCACTAACAAGATGCACCGTTGACGGGCGTCTGTTTTCGTAACCTCTCTAAGAATTACATCAGTTGGCAACTCAGAAGCAACATTCCACCAGCTGTACCTCTGCTGTGCGATGAGAGCTCAGTTGCATTACCACGAAGGTTTGCTAAACAAGCTGAACTTTTGGAATCGTCATGACCTCTGACAGACGTAAGGAAGAAGTAAGAAGTAAGGACGGATATACTCGGCTGCTCCCCATCCAACGTACTTTCACCAGCTCAAGCAAAATCGACAAAGCCGTACCGTCGAAAAAGGCTTACTACTGGGCGGTCTCAAAATACCAACCTGCCTGACTTGTGCTCTACGTCTGAACTCTCTCGGCACGTACATCGGGTGTGTGATTTGACTGACGTTCGACGAGGGCTTTACTTCGACGCTGCTGCTGACTATTGTCTTATCCTTTTATAAAGATTACAACACAACATGCTTCCCTTTCAGAAAATGAAAGTTCCCAGGGGATGCGCATTCACGCTCGCGTCGTTCTGGTCCAGTCCGGTTGCACCGGTTGGTTGGTTGAGACGGCCAGTCAGTCACTTGCGCGTTAGTACATGTGCACCTAAAAGTGGCGTGAGGTGTGGACCGACACCGTCAACCTGCAGGCGCGTTTTGTCTGTAGGAAGAGGCGAACGCGAGCACAGCCGCCCGGAGGTGAAGGGCGCGAGCGACAACCTCGAGGCTGCTCGTCTTTTCCCGGGTATGCGCGCCCTTGAGTCATGACGCAGCTCACACCCACACACTGCTGCTCCAATGTCGATAATATAGATGGTAGGCGTAGTGAGCGCCCACAAAGGCATTGCCAGAGCAAAAATATAGTTACCAAAGCCCTGAGCTTGGGAAAAATAGTTAATCACTACCTCTAATAAGTATTGTCATACTGGCCGTCGGCTCATAGGCTTTTCCGATATGGAAGACATGCGGTTAGTAAAATGTGAACGGGCTGTGAAAAACGCCTAGGTTTGAAATAGTTTCGGATGGTGGCAAATGGGTGTGAGACGCGGGGATGTTTAGGAGTGAAAAAAATCAGTTACTCAAGGAGTGAAGAGGGGCAGGAGTGGAACTTGACTGACCTACTATGGTAATTGCATAAGTAATCAGAGGTTCCTCGTCAAGTAAGGACGTAGTACATTGACGCAAAAACCGAGCATATAATCCCTAGAAGTACCCGAGACGGCCATTATTACTCCGAAAACTGGTAAATCCATTGGCTAAGAGGTAAAAAAGGAAAACTAGCACGGCACGTTGCCACTTAACCTAGACGAAAGACGAGAAGAGGAGGTTAACGGGCGCAGAGATTGCTTATGTGGGGGAGATTCTCGGAACAGTTGTTGGTGAGGTTTGACTCCGCAGCCCCACTTAATTGGTAACATATGGTTAGCTAACTAAAACAACTTTAGTGGGTGCAACTACGCTGACTTTACATATTTCAAGTGCTTGCGCCTTCTTTACTAGTTTAATCCAGCGACTGATTATGCCTTGGGGGGAAGTACTCATACGCCAGGGTAGGATGTGGTTTGGTAGCCCCATCTGATAGACACAATACTGTTGGGGTTGGGGTTAGAGGTTATGGTTCGGGGTAAGTGTTTAGGATTAGGGGTTATAGTTGGAGGTTAGGAGCTAGCGCAACTATTTCTCAACCATTCAAAGTACAACCGCGCATTCCCAACAGCTCTTCTTTTGCACACAACTACTTGACCTCGTCACCTCTGCGTTCCTCGGCCCCACCTGTAAAAACCGCTATTACCACCGGTCCGTACTAGAGGTGACTGGGGTTTGTTTACTTCATGTGGGGCCACATAACCACATCTGACCTACGCCAGCCTCGATTACATCGGGCATCAGTTAGTACGCTCTTCCATGCGCGTGCCTCGAGCCCTGCTTGCGCCCTCTTTTTCATCTCTGTCCAGTGAGTGGCCAAGTAGGCTTCCTAATGACATTGTTCGGACGGTGTGAAACTCTGCCGGTTCCACCATAGTGGCCATGCACTGCGAATTAACACGCACTTCCCTCTGTGGCTTTCCTGTTGTGATTGCGCCTTCCTTGTCCTCTTAATCCAGCGAATTGCTGTGTCGTGGGGAGTGTGTACACACCACCTTCGGCTACACCAGATATCGGTTCACATGCGCTTCCCTGCGCGTGTTTCGAACCCTGCTTGCGCTCTCTTCTTCCTAATCCAGCGAGTGGTTAAGTTGGGTATGTAAACTAAATTTGCTTCGATCAGCTAACCAAATGGTATCAATCAAGTGGGGCTGCAGGACCAAACCTCGCCCAGTTATTAACCACCAAACCACTTCAAAAGCCCTTGTTCCGAGCGGGAATTTTTAGATGAAGAGGCGAAACATGTAAAAACATAGTTGAGTCTTTGTATATCGCAAAATACGAGGGTTGCTTCACGCTGGAATGGTAGCCTGAGGACGTCATTTACAGATCGCATATTCAATGCATCGAGGCAAGGAAAAGTGAGTAGATGCGCAAACACAAGACGCACTTGAGGGGACTACCACCCCGAGTTTTGTGCCTTTCCGCTGTCGCCCTACATTGCAAAAGGGACACTGCCATACTAATACATTCTGCTAGAATTCGGAGGACTGAAATGCAGGAACAACTAGCCAGCTGCCTCCGTCATGTTTTCTGCCGTCTTGGCATATTCACTTTATATCATTCATTAGTATATTTCAACATCTACCTTATAAGAGGTTGCTGCTACCCGAACAAAGAGACTGGTCTTGTTTAACCCCTGTCTCGTTTAGCTCTTGTAAATGACTGAGGTCAGGGGACTGTCGGGCAAAGCGATACTTGCCATGGGTGACTGTAAACGTTATCACTGAGTTGACCAGAGATGGCTTCCGGTTTATTATGTCCTACCCTATCCCACAGTATCACACCCATGACCATCAACGGCAATTATGCAATAGTTCGTTCAGTGAAGACTGGTGAGGACGATAAAAGGCCCGGGAGTGCAGTTGTGACCTGATTTATAATTGAGTTAAATTTTACCGACTCTACCTAATTTGACCTTTCTACTCCCCGTGTTAATCTAGAAGTCCAAAGTCAAGCCGTCTGATGATTGGCGTGGTCGCAGTGACTTGTGAGTCTGGATTCGCGTTCAAAAGTATCACACGTGTTGGTCCCTGCACACACGCTAACCTCATTTTGACGAAGGGATCCCATGTCTCGTAGAAATATGAGTTGCTGTTAACGCCACACTGCAAAACTGCCACCACAACACGACCCAAAGTCTGAAGGAGGACCTAGTAAGCCCGTCAGTAGTCTACCTAGTCGTGGTTTTTGACACGTGAACAGGGTTCACGGGACACTGGACGGTCATTGGAACGAGCTCATGCTGTCATACATAACGCCACAATGCAAAGCGGATTGGCGAGTAGATTTGGCACAGTCGCCGAGGTGGTCTTACACTGCAATCTAATGATTGACAAAATCCTGCGAGATCCTATCTAGGTCTAAAACAATAGGACAGTCGGTCTTCTGGTCCAGACCATCGTTCCTCATCTTGATGCACACCAAAGTTTATGC